TAAGGGGGGGGACAAGAACGAAGAGGAGACGAAATGGCATAGAGAAGGATGTCCACATCCCACAAACAAAACGCAGTAGCCAAAATGCTGTTTTTCGTGACCTGGGATACAGAGTCCTCCAGCAGTGAAAGCAGGAGCACCAGTAGTTCCAGCAGTAGCAGCATCAGCAGCCCTGACAGAGCTAGTGGACCTACACCACATAATGCCAGGATCAAGTCCTGTGACCCCTCCTCAGTCTATCCATGAGCAGTCTGCACTATGCCAAGGTCCTTACTTCCACATCAACCAGATCCTGAAGGAGGTGCACTTCCATAGCTTACAGAACAGGGTCCGTCTTCCCACATGATGAGCCTAGCAGTTCCCTGCCTTCTGGGAAGGGGGACAGCTCTGTGTGATGGGGATATTTCAACTTAAATGTTTGTTAAAATGGCACAAAATGCCTGTTGCCTTTTCAGTCTGTATATGGAATAACGGGTTAACAGGCAATTGTTTACTTGTGGTCTGCTGCACTATTGCAATGCAAAAAGGGCTTTGGAGCAATTTTTATAGGATTCTTTTTGGGGAGGGATGGAGGGTGGATATCTTTTGACATGTCATGATGGGTCTGAGAATCCACTTCTGTGTAACAGGAGTGCATAATAAATCCAGTCTGACTTCTTAATCTGTTCATTAGTAACTGATGCTTTATGTAAAATCCTTTCAAACATTTGCATTCAGTTTTATGTCTTTTTAAAAATTTCAATAAATTGAAAATAATAATAATAATAATAATAATAATAATAATAATAATAATAATTTATTCATACCATGCCCATCTTGCTGGATTTTCCCAGCCACTCTGGACAGCTCCCAACAGGATATTAAAAACATGATAAAACATACAAAAACTTGCTAGTTGTACATCCGGTCAGGGCGGTGTAACGAGTCTTTGTGCAGACATATGTGGCAACTCACTTTTTCATCTGCCAAAGAGGCCCTGGGGCTTTCTGGAACAGCCAGATTATGGGGCTCATGGGCTTTAGATGGGCAGGAAGAGGCTGGGAATGGCAGCTTTCTCTGGGTTTGCTGGAGAGGGCAGCGTAGAAATGAACCACATGACTAAAAATTCATCTGCCCTATGCTGGAAGTGGTTTACAAGGGAGGCACCACTTGGATAACTCAGGTGGTGGAGCATGTGACTCTTAATCTCAGGGTTGTGGGTTCAAGCCCTATGTTGAGTGAGAGATTCCTGCGTTGCAGCGGGTTGGACTAAATGACCCTCGTGGTCCCTTCCAACTCCCCTCCCCCATACTAATCAAACATAAAAAACTTCCCTAAACAGGGCTGCCTTCAGATGTCTTCTATGATTCTACAAAGTAACACTAACCTACCTGTTAAAGTTCCAACAGAGTGCAGATGCATTTTGTAGGCATTTCTGGCTGAAGAGAGCCAACTCCCTTATTACAAGGTAACACTACCCTCATTATGAAACTGCAAGTATGGTGCAGGACTGCAAACACACGCACTCCTCACTTTAACCTCAAATTCTCTGCACATGTAAAAAGATGCTTAAGAAACAGCAGTTTCAGGAAATGGTTTCAGGACTTGTCTGTGGGTTTCAGACATGTGGTTTACATATCTGTATGTGTTTGCTTGGTACATTTATGAACATTTATTATATATATATATAAGACCTTAAAATTCTTATAAAAATCTGGACTCTCTCTGTGCAGAATAAAGGTGCAAATATGTGTAACTGAACCATATTTCTAAAACCTTAAGGAACTTTCTAGGTGAGAGCCCATGGTCAGAAATATCCGAAAGAGGTGCCTTCAGTTAAGTTCAAGCAAGTACAGTGGTACCTCGGGTTACATACGCTTCAGGTTACAGACGCTTCAGGTTACAGACTCTGCTAACCCAGAAATAGTGCTTCAGGTTAAGAACTTTGCTTCAGGATGAGAACAGAAATCGTGCTCCGGCGGCACGGCAGCAGCAGGAGGCCCCATTAGCTAAAGTAGTGCTTCAGGTTAAGAACAGTTTCAGGTTAAGTACGGACCTACGGAACGAATTAAGTACTTAACCCGAGGTACCACTGTACAGTAGTATGTCCCTTGCACGGAGAAGACAGGGAAATGCTGTTGGAGGACAGAGAAAAGGTGGAACTGCTCATTGTTAAAATCGTTACACATATGGTTCTTAATTGTAAACTATATGCTGATCTCCGTCAGCAATTTCTAGATCAACTCTGCATCCCCAAATGGAAACCAGAGTTGGAGGTCATTCATTTTCTATTACTGGGGAATGATCAGGAGCTCACCAAGTTAGTGGCTAAATATCTCTATTTGGTTTTTTGTTGTCGAAATACACTGCAGACGTCTGATCTCCCTGGAGACCCAGAGATGTGACGATAGACTGCTCTGCCTCCTTTCTTTTAGCAAATGTTTTGTGCCACTGGGGAAGTGGTAATTCTGTATTGATTTGTTTTGGATGTTTGTATGTGATGCCAATAAAAGGTTTGTTGATGATCGTGTTTATGGAAGACAATCTTACTCAGCTACGAGTGATTGCCAAAGAAGAAGAAGAAGAAGATAGAAAAAATAGGGGTGGTTGGCTTTTGCTGCCTAACTCCCCAAGGGACTGAGTCCCCTAAGTCCATGATCGGTCAGAGATGAAGGGATGGAGGCAGGAGGCAGTGAAAGCAAGGCAGATCTTTATTTTTCTGTCGCAAAAGAGTTCCCTCCCCTGCTGGCAAGTAGGCAAGAGAAACCCCCGAACCAAAAGGAAACATCTCTTTTAAGGGTTTGCATTTTGGCTGGAGAAGAATGACATCCCCTCTACAAACAGTCCAAAATTATATCACACGTAAGGTTGCGGTTACTGTGACTCAGGCAGGCCAAGGTGTGATATTCCTGAGGATTTAGCAAGTTTTACATAGTTCCAGCAAGTTTTTACATAGTTTTAATGAGGGTGAAAGAGGAGATGGGGACAGAGACCAGGCTAACAGCAAAAACCTTTTAATAAAGGAGATATTTATTTAACTGCTACCAGGACCAATATTACAGGAAAGAAAGGTGTTACAGGCACACAAATACAGTCATTTCACCCCTGTCTCTTAATTACAGGTAAATGTCTTAAAAACAATTAATTTACATCTACTTGCAAAGGAACACAGCTAAGAATATTTCTGGGATTAATTCAAAAACAGGACCGATCATCTAGTCAGTACTTGGATATACTTCTGATCACAAAAATAATGTTTTTAGAAGCATTTGAATTTCCCGGTATTTTAAAAGGGTGGGTGGAGTGGCTTTTTGGCTGATTGATTTAATCTCTTGTCAATTTAACACAATCATTTCTTCCATTCTGGAATGTCAGTGTTTGCTATGATTTCTACGTCATCCATCTTGTTGTTCTCCATTTACAAAAGAAGGATTCGAAATAAACTTTGAGTTTCCTGATACCCTAAAGGTGGGAGCCGTCAGGGAGATCTTGGGCGGTTCTTCTGAATGAGAATCTTCCTGTATAATCTTCATGAAATGCTAGCATTCTGATTCTGTCTATGCCTTTTCCCCTTGAAGACAGATCTTCCTGACTGCTTACTAAACCCTTTCCACTGCTCTGAGGCGGAGATGTTTTGCATAGGTATTGTTTCTGTTTGACTATGTGAGCCTCTTAGTTTTGTTTCAATAAAATGGAAAATAAACCATCTATCTTGAGTAGCGATTCTTTTGATACTTTTGTCTGTGGTGAATCTGCCTGTCTGAGATTCATCGGAATGCCTGAGGGAAAAGGGGTTTTAGATGAGGAAGCCTAAATAGGAAAACAGGAAAGTATGTAAATGTTGGGAAACATCTTAACACAGAGAAATTTGTTTCTACATTTCTGGTGGTCCACGGTGTCAAGATTAATCTCCTAAATTTTAACTCTTAGGCAGGGTTTCATATTTTCATATTTAATCTTTTTATTGAAAAGGTTTCAATTATAAAGTGATACAAAGATAAAGAGGAAAATAAAAGAAACATTAAAAGGTACAGAAATGTGTAGAAAGAAGCAATATACAAATATATACAATCAGTGCTTTTCTCCTAAAAAAATGTTTAGGGATACTCTCATTTTCCTACTCATATTGAAATACTGCCCCTCAATGAGGCCAGACTTAGATTAAAAAATGTTTAGGGTATGCGAACCCCTGCGTCCCCCCAGAAAAAGAGCACTGTATACAATACAGGAAAAAGAAAATGTAGCATAATAACATCAAATTTAATATAAGAATGTATGGGAGCATATTAAATTCCATGCTTTCATATTTTCATGTCAGAAAGAACCATGTACACCACTTTGAGCTCCTTGGAGGAGAAAAGCTGGATATAAATGCAATAAGAATTTTTTAAAGTTTGCTGAGACATATGAGCCAGATATTTTCCTATGTTCGATGTAAACAGTGCGGTTGAGGATAACGCATGTTATGTAACCATATAGCTGATATTGGGATTTCAACAACTGCTTGAATGTATCTTCCCAAATAATTAATGATTTGGACAGCTTCTGCATTTCCCTGCAGTTTGGCAAACTTAAAAACGAATTTTAAAATGTGTTAAACCATGTACAGTGGTACCTCAGGTTAAGTACTTAATTCGTTCCGGAGGTCCGTTCTTAACCTGAAACTGTTCTTAGCTAATGGGGCCTCCTGCTGCTGCCACACCGCCAGAGCACAATTTCTGTTCTCATCCTGAAGCAAAGTTCTTAACCTGAAGCACTATTTCCGGGTTAGCAGAGTCTGTAACCTGAAGCGTATGCAACCCGAGGTATCACTGTATTATAGTTCTTAATCAAACTGAAGTAGTTCCCTGTGTAAATATGGCCGGAGTCAGACTTGTGCCCACCAAAAGAGGGGGGGGTAGGTAGGTGTCTCTCTCTCTTTTTTTGGAGTGGGCGGGTTGCAAGTCATCACAATACAGAACCCCAGTACAAGAACTGACACTCCCCTCTTCTCCTCCTTCTCACTCTTTGAAGCGGGAAACTGTTGGCAGCTTCAGTTTTCTCTTCTCTTTCTCTCTACAAGCAAAGCCATGGCTTCTGCAAACCCAGTCCAGTCCCTTCTCCATGAGCTCGCTTGCTCCCTCTGCCTGAAGGAGTTCATGGACCCAGTGATGCTCCTCGGATGCGGGCATAACTTCTGCCACGCTTGCATCACCAAGCACTGGAAAGGCTCCCTTAAGAACGTCTGCTGCCCTCAGTGCAAGAGGTGCTTCTTGAAGGCCAAGCTGCAGCAAAACAGGCCGCTGAAGAACATGGTGGAGGCAAGTCGGCAGATCACCTGGGGAAGCATGAAAGAGTCAGCCACGTCCGAGAGCACCTGCCCTTCGCACAAGGAGCCTCTGACACTTTTCTGCCAAAAGGACAGCATCCTGATCTGTGCAAAGTGTCAGGTTCAGCATCAGGACCACACCATCCTGCCCGTACAGAAGGCTATTGACGAGCGAAAGGTAATAATAGCTTTCAGATAGAGGGGGGGTGGCAAAACTATGTACAGTGGTACCTCAGGTTATAGTGACTTCAGGTTACATACGCTTCAGGTTACAGCCTCCGCTAACCCAGAAATAGTACCTCGGGTTAAGAACTTTGCTTCAGGATGAGAACAGAAATTGCGCAGAGGTGGCATGGCAGCAGCAGGAAGCCCCATTAGCTAAAGTGGTACCTCAGGTTAAGAACGGTTTCAGGTTAAGAACGGACCTCCGGAACGAATTAGGTTGTTAACCCAAGGTATCACTGTAATTGTTAATAATGTTTCTTTAGAATAGGTTAAGTCTTGCCCAAAGTCAAATTTCAGCTAGGACTCTGCCTCAGTGCCCTTTAAGATGTCCAGAGAGACCCATTCAACTTTTGAGGCCACTAGCCATAAAAAAGAAAAATGACAACACGCAAAATTAAATTAAGGCACCAAAAAAAGGGGGGGTGAGTGGGTTTTTTTAATATAATCAGCAGACCTGAAAGAATGTGTTTGTGATGGTCTAACCTTATGCCTTCAGAACATATATTATTTTATTTATCAATGTTTTAAACTTTTTAATGTGGCAGAATCTGTATCAGTTAACAAAAAGAAATACGTCTTTTGCCAAATCACATCTCTCATTTGTTTAAATCTGTAGCCCTAAATTGAAAAACAAGTTGCCAGACTTATTAAATGCCAAAAAAACACAAAACCACTCCACAACCACTCTCTGATCCATCTTTGGAAATAGCTGAAATCTTTCCCACAATATCTTCCTTGTGGCAAGCAGTTCCATAGCTCAGTTTTCCTCCTTCTGCTCTGGAGGTATTGTGACTCAGCCTCCCCATGTTAGGCAGAATTTTGTGATCCCTTCCCATCCCCACCTTTCTCTCAAATTATTTTACCCATCTCCTGTAATTTCTTCTCCCAATCCCCTTTTGCATTCAACTTGTACCTTATTCCTCATCCCTAAACTGTTAGTTTTCTTTCATCCCTCCCCCTGCCCTGGTCATTTCACATTCACTTCTGCCTCCTATAAGAGCTTTCCATTCCTATTCCCTTGCTTTCTATCCCTGTTTCATTCATTTATTTAATCAATACGTTGTTGGGGGAAAGCTGCCTGGGCCTCATCACTTCTCAAGTTCTAACAAAAGTCTGGGTGAGGTTAGGAGGACATGTAAGTCATGAGTTTTCAGAAAACGAAACTGAAAAAAGCAGCCCTTATGCTGTCTTCACAGCAAGAGTCTGCGCCCTTCAACCTACTCTGTACTTTTCTGCCTGCTGTTAGCGAAACTTTGAAAAGCCTTTATATAAGGCGTCTGATATGCTTGGAACTTCCTGGGGAAAACCTCCTGGTGCTTTGAGTGACCCAACTTGCATGTATACTGTAATTAAGTTGCTTCTGGCAGATTTTTACACTAAACGCAAAGTGCAATATTCCAGAATATTAATTTTTAATCTCTCTCTTTCCCGCCCCCCTTCTAATTTCCTTTCTAATTTCCTCTGGTCCAACTAAAAGGCTATCTGCATGAGTTGTAAGCCTCAATATCCACCTTGGAGCAGGCAGGCCAGAACACAGATGTGTGTGAACCTTCTTTCATTTTTATTTTTTATTTCAGCCCCTTCATGCCTGCCTTCTACTCAGAACCTTGCGTGTTATCAGTCAAGCATCCAAGTATTCTGACTAGGTCGAGCTGTGCTGAAAGTTTTGAAACCAGATAACACCAGCTGCACACATTCCTACGAGATTTACTCATGGGTCCTTTGTTCTGGGTTTCTTCTTCCTTGTTTTTTTGCTTGGGAGTCGGAACCTCGTTTGCAACAATAAAAGATCAGGCTTCCAAGCCCCTGTTTTGCTTCAATTGGCCTGGCTGTGGTCTTGCTTGAACTTGACTAATTCTGAACTAGCAGAGCTAGCGAAGTTGAGAAATTTAAGTATCCTACCCCAAGTTTTGTCCTTGTCACTTGTGAATGTGTATCTCCCTCAGCAATGTCTGCTGCAGCTCCTGTCCTCTTTTTAGAATGTGTGGGGATTAGGTGTGCCATGGCAAAGCAAGAAGTGCTTGGGTGCACTGTGGCCAAAGTTTCCTGTTTAGGGAAGTTTTTAATGTTTTATCATATTTTTAATATTCTGTTGGGAGCCGCCCAGAGTGGCAGGAGAAATTATTATTATTATTATTATTATTATTATTATTATTATTATTATTCCCTTACGTGGTGCCTGTGTGGTAAACCAGTTGCATGAGAAGCGAACTAAGCTGGGAAAGTACACTGGTACCTCGGGTTACATACGCTTCTGGTTACAGACTCCGCTAACCCAGAAATAGTACCTCGGGTTAAGAACTTTGCTTCAGGATAAGAACAGAAATTGCATGGCAGCGGCGTGGCAGCAGCGAGAGGCCCCATTAGCGAAAGTGGTGCTTCAGGTTAAGAACAGTTTCAGGTTAAGAATGGACCTCCGGAACGAATTAAGTATGTAACCAGAGGTACCAGTGTATAAGGGTTCCTCCCTCTCCCTTTTTAGATTATGTGGTTGTTTTGAAGTCAAACCACTGCATTAGCAACATCAAAGTGACCTCCCTGGCGTGTCAGTCTGGGCAGTGTCTATGGAGGTCTTGGGCTGCCCAGGCTACAAGACCCCCTGTAGTGAAGTTGGGAAATCTCAGTATGCCAAACGCTGGTTCACGCAGGAGTGAGGCATTGTGGGAGAGATAAAATTGTGGCCTTCTGGGGAATGGTTGTGTTAACGGAGAAATCTGAGGGCTCCCTTGGACAAAAAAACAAGGACACTAGTCAGGAATACCAGAGCAAAACAGCAGCCAGTAGGCTTGGTCTTTATTGAAGACTATCGTGACAGGACTCCCACCTGCCACAAGGTGGAACAAGATGGAAGCCCTGAACAAAAGTGCCCCCAAACTTTTATTAGCTGCTAATCCCCATGTTACCCCCCCCCCAAACTACATCACTCATACATCATGGTTACATCATGAAAGGGGAGGTCTGGTGGCAGTAATCTGAGCATCCTGGACCCTGCCCCATGGTTCTCCTGGCCCTCCACCAAACACCCATCAAGTGTAACAAAAAAGATATTTACATTTCCCTGTTTCCCAGCCAAGTTAATCACACCCTTTTGTCTTCATCTGGGTTTGTTATTTCTGGAATGGCTACCTTTCTGGCACTCAGGTATCAGGATGTCAGGGATTATCACTCAGGCAGAGGGGCTGCTGAGTAGCTGAGCTCACATGTCTATATGAATTTCTGAAGTTTTCCCAAAATAAAAAAATTCCTTCCAGTAGCACCTTAAGACCAACTAAGTTAGTTCTTGGTATGAGCTTTCGTGTGCATGCACACTTCTTCAGATACACTGAAACAGAAGTTGCCAGATCCTTCTATATAGTGAGAAGGTGGGGGAGGGGTATTACTCAGAGTAATATATAGAAGGATATGGCAACTTCTGTTTCAGTGTATCTGAAGAAGTGTGCATGCACACGAAAGCTCATACCAAGAACTAACTTAGTTGGTCTTTAAGGTGCTACTGGAAGGATTTTTTTTATTTTGACTATGGCAGACCAGCACGGCTACCTATCTGTAACTGAAGTTTTCCCAGTGAGCCAGTACACAGATACATTTATCAGTGAAATGTTACATTTGGTATCGTGCAGCAAATGCCCTTTGAATAGACAGGAAGAAGCTGTATTGAAGTGTTTTGTGGGGACAAATCACAAAAGTCACAAAAGCGATTGTGCTGATTTTGGTAGTGGGCTGCATGTGCAGGATATCTGCTGGAGGGGCAACCCCCCCACACCTATACATAAATTCCTGCAACAGTTGTTTGGTCTCTTTAAACGTAAAACTCCCTGTCTCTAGAAGTGTGAGTCAATTACATCTTGACTCTAGGCAGGATGAGAGCTTATCTGATTTGCAGACCCTGGCACAGCTAGGTGTAGATTGGGTTGTAAATAAGGCACAGGAGGCTATAAAGTAATTTACAGTTTCGGAGCCTGGTACTTGTAAGAGAAGCCTGGGAACGAAGGAAGAGCCTTTTGAACTATTGTTGCTGTGTGAATATGGTTTTAGCGAGTTATATTTTACAATGTTTTTATTTTTTTGTTTGTAACCTTCTAAGAAACGTGCAACTTTTTGAGTGGCTTGTTCAATAAACTTGGAAAAGGACTTTTTGTCTTTTGTACTCTGCGCCTTTGCTGGGAGAAGCTAAACTGGCGCCTTACCATTTGGACACCTACCTGTTGAATTTCTGTCTGCGTCATGGTAAAGTGACTCAGGGCTGGGCCAACCCGGTAAATATTGAAGGGGAGTTCTCCTCCTTGAACCCCATTTGAGGGTGGTCCAGGAAAGGAGGTGGTTGGCAGCTTTACCGTTTGCCTTCGATTTGCAACAACTAGCAATCTCTCCCCCTTCCTGGCCAAGTCCTGCTGGTGTCTAGGAGGAAAGGTCAGGGGGGATGGATAGTCCCACTCACTACACCCCCCCCTCGGCCTCACTGATGTGGTCCAAAGGAAAGTGTTATGGAAATTACGGGGGGGCACATCTTTAAAGTTGTTAACAGTTAAAAATATTATAGCTGAATGTATCCTTTCGACTTGACAGCTCAGGGAATATACCTAGCTTTATGAAATATATAGGGACACGGGTGGCACTGTGGTCTAAACCACTGAGCCTCTTGGGCTTGCCGATCGGAAGGTCAGCGGTTCGAATCCCCGCAACGGGGTGAGCTCCGGTTGCTCGTTCCCTGCTCCTGCCAACCTAGCAGTTTGAATGCATGTAAAAGTGCAAGTAGATCAATAGGTACTGCTCCGGCGGGATGGTAAACAGCGTTTCCGTGCGCTGCTCTGGTTCACCAGAAGCAGCTTAGTCATGCTGGCCACATGACCCAGAAGCTGTCTGCGGACAAACGTCGGCTCCCTCGGCCAATAAAGCAAGATGAACGCCGCAACCCCAGAGTTGTCCGTGACTGGACCTAACGGTGAGGTACTTTACCTTTGAATTGTATAAAATCAACACCTTTGCCAAGTTCCTCCATTCCAACACCATTTTGCCCTTGGAAAAAGGACTTTTTCCCCTGCCACCTCCCCAAACTTGAAGACATGTATACACTCCAGGAAATGCCCAGAGGTGATAATTGCTGGGATCATTGTTCTCCAAGGGAAGCCAGAGCTCATCACCAGACTTGCCTCAGGCTCCAAACATGCAAAGGAAGTTCTATTGTACTTTGGGTTGTGGGACTTCAGAGGTGTTTGCCTATGCTAATCTTATACAGTGGTACCGCAGGTTACATACGCTTCAGGTTACAGACTCACTAACCCAGAAATATTACCTCAGGTTAAGAACTTTGCTTCAGGATGAGAACAGAAATTGTGCTCCGGCGGCGCGGCGGCAGCAGCAGGCCCCATTAGCTAAAGTGATGCTTCAGGTTAAGAACAGTTTCAGGTTAAGAACGGACCTCGGGAACGAATTAAGTACTTAACCTGAAGTACCACTGTACCTGGGTCTTGCCCTGCCATGTTTGCTTATGGTAATCTTGTACCAAGGACTTGCCCGGAAATGTTTGCCAAGGTTAAACTAGTGTAATCCCTGTCTACCCCTCCTCTTTTGTGACATGTCAGTGATGTAGCAATGATGCTGTACGAACTGTATTCTGGGATATGGTGGGGAAGTTTTAAAAGTCTTTGTCACCCCATCCTCGGGGTTCAAAATTCCTCTTTGAACCTGTTGTGCAATAAACTTTGGTCTACAGCTATTTGCTCCGGTTGGTGGCTGGACTCCTTCCTTTATTCCGCAGGGACCCGCGGCCTTGGGTGACTGAGCAGCCTCACACCTAGATTTTTCCATAACAGAAAGCAGAGCAATACATTTGGCACCAGTTTGGCTGCAGGAGTTGCTGAAAGGAGGCGTACAAGGCACCAACCAACCACTTCTAGTAGCATTGCAGAATATAGCCAGTTTTTCCCTGTTATTTGCATCCAGGAGAAAAAATATGCTTGCCAATAAAATTTGCACTATATTCTGCTATATGTCTGGAAGTGGCTTTTATTCCATGTAGAAGCTCAGATATATTGCAGAACTCAACTGTCAGAGAAACAGAACCAACTGTCCTATGAATGCAGCCTGAATGTGGGCAGGGGGACTGAGTTGTATTCTGGGGCAGGAAACTGCAAAGAAACTGCAACTACCTTTGACTCCTGAATGCTAGGACCTTTTCTCCAAGTTCTTACACCTGAGAAGTCTAATTGTAATGTGTCTGAAGGCAGGAACAAACTAAAATCCAATTCTCTCCTCCCCTTCACAACTTCCTCTTAGGAGCAAATTCTGAGCAAGCTGAAGCAACAACAAGCTTCGGTGGAAAGGTTCAAAGAAGCTCTTGCATGTGGTGCCAAGGAACTGCTGGTAAGTCTTGCATAAGCACTCAGCACCTACAGATGGATGCATGGTTTACATGAGACAGCATATGAGGCCTGCTGTGGACTGGGAGAAGTCCCTGCCTCACTGCTATGCCTTATCTCATTCCCCAGGAGGAGAGAGAGAGAGAATTAAGAAGCTATTTGATAGTCATTTTCAAGTAACTGAATGTCAGGCACTTACTCAAGAGACCAAATTTTATTTTCTGTTGCTCTGGATGGTAAGACCCAAACCAATGGGTTCAAGTTACTCACTCTCTCTCTCTCTCTCTCTCTCTCTCTCTCTCTCTCTCTCTGTGTGTGTGTGTGTGTGTGTCTGTGTCTGTGTCTGTGTCTGTGTGTGTTTATTTTCATTATGCAGTAACACAGCATATTAAAAACCATCAAAACAACCAAGCTGTGAGTACTCAGGGCAGAAGTCCTGTCCAAACCACCACACTCTGACCATCTTAGAATCATAGAATCATAGAGTTGGAAGAGACCACAAGGGCCATCGAGTCCAACCCCCTGCCAAGCAGGAAACACCATCAGAGCACTCCTGACATATGGTTGTCAAGCCTCTGCTTAAAGACCTCCAAAGTAGGAGACTCCACCACACTCCTTGGCAGCAAATTCCACTGTCGAACAGCTCTTACTGTCAGGAAGTTCTTCCTAATGTTTAGGTGGAATCTTCTTTCTTGTAGTTTGGATCCATTGCTCCATGTCCGCTTCTCTGGAGCAGCAGAAAACAACCTTTCTCCCTCCTCTATGTGACATCCTTTTATATATTTGAACATGGCTATCATATCACTCCTTAGCCTCCTCTTCTCCAGGCTAAACATGCCCAGCTCCCTTAGTCGTTCCTCATAAGGCATCGTTTTCAGGCCTTTGACCATTTTGATTGCCCTCCTCTGGACACGTTCCAGTTTGTCACTGTCCTTCTTGAACTGTGGTGCCCAGAACTGGACACAGTACTCCAGGTGAGGTCTGACCAGAGCAGAATACAGTGGCACTATTACTTCCCTTGATCTAGATGCTATACTCCTATTGATGCAGCCCAGAATTGCATTGGCTTTTTTAGCTGCCGCGTCACACTGTTGGCTCATGTCAAGTTTGTGGTCAACCAAGACTCCTAGATCCTTTTCACATGTACTGCTCTCAAGCCAGGTGTCACCCATCTTGTATTTGTGCCCCTCATTTTTTTTGCCCAAGTGCAATACTTTACATTTCTCCCTGTTAAAATTCATCTTGTTTGTTTTTGCCCAGTTCTCTAATCTGTCAAGGTCGTTTTGAAGTGTGATCCTGTCCTCTGGGGTGTTAGCCACCCCTCCCATCTTATGAGAGGGCTACCTAAGCTACCACGTTGCTTGCACACTTTTCAGTCCATTAAAAAGTGCATCATCGTTTTTTATTTCAGTCCTCACGTAAGAACAAAAAGTTCTTGCCTGAACATTAGAAAGAGCTTCCTGACAGTATGAACTGCCCACTAGTTTGAGGCTTGTTTATACGTTGCACTGAATGCAAGTACAAGCTGTTGTATCTGTCTACTCATGTTGTTGGCACCCGCCTGTCACAAGAGACAATGGAGTGCGCCTCTGAGGGTGAAGTCAAACATTAGCAGCAATGAAGTGACCTCCCCAGGGTGCAAGCCTGGGTGGTGTGTATGGAGGTCCTGGGCTGCCCAGACAACAAGACACCCTCCCCCCCGCCCTCACTGGTGTGGTCCAAAGGAAAACAGAGCAATACTCACGTATATGTGAAATAAATCAAAAAGAGGCTGCGGACATACCATACATTTATTTTATTTTTAAATATATTTTATTAGATTTTCTTCCAACTATACAAAGGTAAAAATCACCATAACAGAAACAATAGTCGCACACGCACACAACTGTATGTCAAAACAATTTCAAATCCAAAAATAGGGATTCTCCAAATCTTCCCTCCACCCCCTCCTCTGATTCCTTAATTTTTCTTTTCAACTGCCTATCATTACTACTACAAAAAAAATTTCAACCATTTTTTTCCTATTATATTTCTGAAATTACAAGTGTTCTTAAAATCCTGCCAGTGTGTTAACTTGTTTACAATACTTTTGCATATATATAATAAACATTTCCCACTCTTTTCTGAATTTGTCGTCTTGGCTTCTGAGCTTTCCAGTTAATTTTTGGCATATTCCATCAACTTGATTTGCCAGGGACATACCATACATTTAAAGCATACAGCTTCATTCAAAGAATCCTGAGAACTGTAGCCCTCAGAGCTACGCTTCTCAACACCCTTAACAAACTACACTTCCCAGGATTCTATGGGGCTAAGTCATGTGTTTTAAATGCATTGTCTGTAGGCAGCCAAATAATAACATGAAATCTGTTGGGAAAGGCAGTGGGTAAGATGCTTGCAGGCCTATGATCCAGTCATCAAAGGTTTAGCATATATAGTTTGAACCTACAGTTCTGCTGCAAGGAATAATTTTCTTGTTTGGCTTGTTCTTTGTTTCTGTCCCACCACAGGATCAGGCAAGCCTTGCACACCAGGCGTTAGTGACTGAGGTCGAAAACTTCTGCCAGTCTTTGAAGGATCAGGTGCAGTTCCTGGTGCTCTACCTGGAAGAGCTGAAAAGCACAATCTTAAAGAAGAAGAAGGAAGACGACAGCAAATATACCAGGGATGTGACTCAGCTCAATGTCTTGACCAGTGCTGTAGAGAAGATGTGTTCTCAGCTAGGGGTTGAGCTCCTGAAAGGACCATCCCAAGTCAATGTCTTGATCAGTGAGGCAGAGAAGATTCATCGTCACCGATCGGATGAATTTTGCAAGGTGAGAATGTTATAAAAAATGCAAGCTCCTGCAGTGAGGATTGCGAAGCCCAGGTTTCAGAAATCACCATGGGATTTTGCACTGCTCATGCAGCAGCACGAGCGGTTTTCAAAGTGCAAATTTCAGACATGGTTCATTTGCAGTCGTAATCCCTGTCCTGTTGTGGGGAACTGAACCCTGTGCAGCACAATCCATTACAGCTCCTGATGGATTAAATCCGCTCACTGTGTGGCAACTGCAGTTCCTAGTTGCGCCAATCTCTGTGCTACAATTAAACATGAGACTGGTGGAATAATTCCTTAAAAACAGCGGCACGGGTGCACTTGCGGGGTGGAAATTCTCTCATGTCACCACAGAGCCCTGCAAAATGGTAAGACACACCAAACTGGGATCCCGGTGGATTTTAATGGGAGTTGACTTTTTACAACTTTATAGATATCCTTTTTTCATCTCCCTACAAACTTGACTACTCGTTTTCTCTGTTTCTCCTTCTTCTAGGAAGATGAAACGTTCACCGACTGGTATGTATCTTATATGTATTATTTTTATTGGTTTTCCAAATTATTACAAACCAGTCCAAATTATTTAAATTTAATACAAAATGTTTTCCCACTCCTGTTGCAAACATATGTTCATTACTTCCTGATGTAGCCACTTGATTCTTGTTTAAACTCCTCTTCATCCTTCTCTTGATGTTAGTCCATTCTCACAGCCGACTTTGCTAGTTTACTCACATTCAGCACCTCTGTTACTTTTCATAAATATAAAATCCATTTCACGTTTGTGGTCCTGCATAAACGTTGTTCCCAGACCTGGTGTGTTGAGATAGTTAATTCCCATCCTCCTTTGTTCGGTCACATTCCATTCCTTGGAGATCATTCCTTCCTCTGTTCACCAACAGGTTGCGGCTATAAATAACTCTCCATCATGATGACCAATCTCTGCCATTAAAATTTCACTCTGGAGTTCTTCCTCAGCACGCAGTTAAAAAAACCCAGCCTTTTCACAAACACAGGCTCTTGCCAGATTTAGTTAAGCAGCCATTCATCTTCTTTTAATTGCTCCCTTAAAGATAATTTAAATAAAGTCCATTCAACCTTGGTCAAGGGGGGAGGACATAATAAAATGTTGTTAAATCCTTTGCTGAGCATAATAATAAAAAAAACACAAAAAAATCCTTCTAGTAGCACCTTAAAGACCAACTAAGTTAGTTCTTGGTATGAGCTTTCGTGTGCAAGCACACTTCTTCAGATACTTCGTGTGCTTGCACACGAAAGCTCATACCAAGAACTAACTTAGTTGGTCTTTAAGGTGCTACTAGAAGGATTTTTTTTGTTTTGACTATGGCAGACCAACACGGCTACCTATCTGTAATAATAATAATAATAATAATTTATTTATATCCTGCCCTCCCCAGCCGAAGCCGGGCTCAGAGCGGCTAACAACAGTAAAATGATAAAATATTCTAAAATCATTTCATTATAAAATTAATTCCAATCAGATTAATGGCAACCATTGGGCTAGAGTTCTGTGAGGATTGCCAAAGGAGGGAGTCAGGCTGTGCCCTGGCCAAAGGCCTGGTGGAACAGCTCTGTCTTGTAGGCCCTGCGGAAAGATGTCAAGTCCCGCAGGGCCCTGGTCTCTTGTGACAGAGCGTTCCACCAGATCGGAGCCACAGCCGAAAAAGCCCTGGCTCTAGTTGAGGCCAGCTTAACCTCTCTGTGGCCTGGGATCTTCAGGATGTTTTTGTTTGAAGACTGTAAGTTCCTCTGTGGGACATACCAGGAGAGGCAGTCCCATAGGTACGAAGGTCCTAGGCCGTATAGGGCTTTGAAAGTTAAAACCAGCATCTTAAATCTGATCCTGTACTCCACCGGGAGCCAGTGCAGCTGGTATAGCACCGGGTGAAAGTGATCTCGCAGCGAAGACCCCATAAGGAGTCTCGCCACGGCATTCTGCACCCGCTGGAGTTTCTGGGTCAGTCTCAAGGGCAGCCCCACATAGAGCGAGTTACAATAATCCAGTCTGGAGGTGACCGTCGCGTGGATCACAGTGGCTAGGTCAGGGCGAGAGAGATAAGGGGCCAACTGCTTAGCTTGGCGGAGATGAAAAAATGCCGCCTTTGTTATAGCTGCAATCTGTGCCGCCATGGAAAGGGAGGTGTCGAAGATTACACCCAAACTCTTAACGGACGGTGCTGGCACTAATTGCGCCCCCGCAAGAGATGGGAGTTGCCCCCCCCAATCCCATATCGTCCCGACCCAGGCAAAGGACCTCTGTCTTCGAAGGATTTAACTTCAACCAGCTCCCACGTAACCATCCAGCCACAGCTTCCAAACATCTGATAAATCAAATGCCTCCTCTTATCTTTTCCTCGGTGTCAGACAAAATAACATAGCTATGAAAACACACGGCTCATTCATTTTGCAGAGGAGGTCAAGAATCAACTGGTATGTATCTCATCCTTTTGCCTCCTCCCTCCACCTTCCACAAGTAGAATTTTTAAGTCTCTCTCCAGAGGATCTTTTGCACTAATCATGGCCTCCTGCCTTTAGATCTGTCCGTTATCACCATCTTAACATAAGTGTGGTGGGAGATACACTTGGGCTGTTTTCCTGATGGTTCAATACCTTCAGTGACATGTTTGTGTGTGTGTGTGTAATTTTGTGTTCCTCAAAAGTTCATTTTTGCAGAAGCAAATCAACAGAAGACAAGTGAACAGCATGCTATTGTTTTCCCCTCTCCAGGTTTGGTGAAGAACATTATAAGGAAAACAGTTCTGGGGATCTGGAAAACAAATGCTACGAAATCACTGAGCTAAATAAAACTTTGAAGAAGACGTTTCAGAAATTCAAAGGTATCAGTAAGCAGGAGAGAAGTGGATGCGTCACTTCCTGTGATAGAGTGGAACAAGGCTATCGGCTTCAGTCCTGGCTCACAGTCCTGGAGCGCCTTTGGGTGTGATGCCCTTGGTGGACCCCTACTCTTGAGAAGGCCCCTTCCTCCTCACAGCTCTCTTCAGTGCCCATTCACTTGCAGCAGAGCAGAATTTAAATTGCGATACGGCACACTAAATTACAACCACAAACATGCAATTAAAAATCAGTCAGAATATTTGGTGTGATGGTTGTGCAGTCCCTCATCTTCAGTCACCAATCCTCAGACAAGCTGCAGAAAACATCACTGAAGTTCATCCACAAAAGGTTTTAGGGACCCCTATTCTAATGCTTTCTGTTATCCTCCCTGCCCTTTCTAGATCAGATGGCAACTGAGCTGTGGAAAGCCAGAAACGAAGTCCTGAAGAAATATGAAAAAGGTGAGTTCACTGAGGGATAACTGAGAGTCAAACTGGACTTGGTGTGGCAGATCCACGAACAGGCTCCCTTGTGATGGCAGTTGTACACCATGGCCCTTATTGGGATGCTGTTATGTTTACTATGGTGATGGAGCCCAGAAATGGTCATGGTACTCAAAGGATGTGGGCAACCTTTCCCCTCCAGATGCTGCTGAACCCAGCATCCCTTGCAATCATGGCTAAAGGTGAAGGAAATTCTTCTTCCTCTTATGTATTTATTTATATTCTGCCTTTTCCCCTGACAGCCTCAAGCGTCAGGTACATGGCTGAATCAGAGGAGGAAGAGTCGGACTTGGGAGATGAAAGATTGCTAGTACAAGGAGAGACAGATTCTTACTCTGGAGACGAAAGATGGCAGACAGAGCAGGAGGAAGTGGGCTCGACTCTCCCCCTTCACCAAGAGTTATCTGACTCAGCTAGAGCAGACATGGACAGCTCACAAGAAGGGGGAGAAATAGATGGCAGTAGGGAAGTTGCTAGGCAACCAGCAGAGAGTCAGAGGTCAGAGCTCCTCCTTTGAGAGAGGGGTGTGGGAATTCCCCCCTCCTCCTCCTCATTCCAGGAGAGCTGTAAAGGTCAGAATGCAATGGAAGTGCAACAGGGGAAAGGCTGGACGTTGGCATATTTTCTGTTGTGACCAAGGTGGAGTTTCAGAATGAGTAACTCCTTTCAAGAGCGGCAGGCTGGGAGCCACTCTCTGAGTGTAACTTGTAAATGAACGCACCATAAAACTGCCAGGGAGGCATTAATTCTTATCGAGGCTTGCCTGAGATCGTTACATCAAGGCAGCTTACCGATAAAAATAAGAAACACTAAAAACATGGGAAAACCAATAATTAAAAAACAACTAAACATTGATAGTATTTTATCTCCATCTATCTATTATACATCATACAAATAATTACAATAAAACAGTACATTTTTATTACAATTTTTAAAAAGTAAACGGCATAGATTTTTTATTATATCAAGTAGTATATATTTAAAATAAACACAGTAATTCTTTTTTCTGCAGAGCAGCTTAGCCATCCTATAACCTCCCCTTCCTCTTGCAGAAAGTCTGTACTTGGATCCTGACACAGCACACACCTCGCTGGTCCTTTCAGAGGACCAGTGGAGTGCCTGGGAGTCGCACGAGTCGCCTGAGGAGATGCCTTATCACCCTGAGAGATTTGAGAACCGTCAGTGTGTGCTGGGCTTAAACGGATACACCTCGGGGAGAGTCTACTGGGAAGTTGATGTGGAAAAGGCGAAAGAATGGGGTGCTGGGGTGGCCAGAAAATCTGTGGAGAGGAAGGGCCCTCTGGATTTTAACCCTGATGCCGGAATCTGGGGAGTAGGCCTAGACAGAGTTGGGTTAGACAAGGGGTACTGGGCTTTCACCCTTCAAGGTCCTATTCCCTTGACCGTGCCAAAACCCCTCAAGAAGATCCAGGTGTATCTAGATTACGACAAAGGGGAGGTGTCATTTTGCAATGCCACCGATGCTGAAACCTTCATCTTTACCTTCCCTCCGGCCGCATTCAACGGAGAAGAAATCTATCCCTGGTTTTGGGTTGGGAAGGGGGCTATCAAAATATGCCAGTTAGAACCAGAAGATATCCAGCTCAAACTGGTAGAGGCTGGGCTTATTAAACCTCGGGATTACAGTGGCATCTTTGGTTTTTGATAAAAGATACAGTGGTACCTCGGGTTAAGTACTTAATTCGTTCCAGAGGTCCATTCTTAACCTGAAACTGTTCTTAACCTGAAGCACCACTTTAGCTAATGGGGCCTCCCGCTGCCGCTGCATGATTTCTGTTCTCAACCTGAAGCAAAGTTCTTAACCCAAGGTACTATTTCTGGGTTAGCAGATTCTGTAACCTGAAGCGTATGTAACCTGAGGTACCACTGTACTATGATTTCTGAGGAATCTCCTCTTTGTAGGCATTCCCTGGATTTGCAATTCCTAAGCACTCTTACTTCCTATTGCAATACATTCCCCTTTGTAAGTTGGGGTCTGTGGCCAGATCCCTCCTTGCTTCCTCTACTCAAATCACTTGGGTGGGAACGGCCTCAGGGCATCTTCCTGTATGGAAATCTTAAGTACCGGTCAGGTGGTTAAGCATGTGACCCTGTTTCTTTTTAGGGAAAGGCGCACAAACAATTGCAGCAGTTGTATGTATGGGGCTGTAGCCAACCTAGTGACCCACTGGGATTTCTCCTTGCATGATGGAATGTTCTCTCCCTCTGCTCCCCTGCTCCCCCAACCTATTTTGAGGTCCTTCCAACGCTCTATGGCAAGGGGAAAGTCTCATTGTGCAAGTAGAAATCCTGGTGCTGGCGGGACGCATTAGTTGAACACTTCCCTCAGCTTCCATGCCTATCGATGCAATGCTGGGTGTGGAATTAATCAGGACATATTTTTGGTGCATGCATTTTTTTGGGGGGGGGGGTGGAGTGGTGTGGAATGCAACGTGCATTGCTTTGTTGGGATGTGTCTATCAATACTGTTGGCAACCTGGTACCATCCAGATGTTTTAGACTACAACTCTCATCGGCCTCAGGCAGCATGGCCATATGGAGTTTAGAACATCTGGAGGGCGTCAGGTTGGCAATGGCACATGCGCATGCACACACACAAACACACACACACTCCATTGGTGGCACAGCAGTTTGGCACTGAAGTGGAGGGAAGGCACCAACATCAAAATAAATAAATTCAGCCCCACACGAATCTCCCTTGAGGCACTGCCAACGAACACAATACTCTCTGGTTTTCTATGTGCTGTGTTCTATGCAAAACCCCTTTGTGACAGAGCATGCAAAAATACTGTGTTGCTTTGTTTTGCAGCGCCCCTGACAAAATTAGAAAAGAAAGTGCATTGGGCTGACTAAGCAGCGGAGGTTCTCTGTTCTATTTCCCACTTTTGGTGTTAATGTAACTTTCTCACTGTGCCAGCTGAACATACATTTAAACTGCCTGTTATCACTGATTGTAATTTTCACACCTCATTGCCATCCAGCTCCCACCTAATCATTTTCTCATATATACTTGCCACCTATGATTTCCTTTTCTGCATCTAACAAAGTAGGCTGTAGTCCACAAAAGCTTATGCCATAATAAATTTGTTATTTAGGGTGCCATAATACTCTTTTTGTTGCCTTTTCTTAGGTGGTTCTTTTTACCTATTGTACCCAGGGATTTGCATAGTTCTTTTTTTTAAAACTGATGTTGTTGGTACCTTTTTTGCTGTTCGGAAAGTTCCTGTATCTATTTGGCTGTTTCTTCATGCTCTTTGGCTGTATTCTAATAAAAGTGAGATGCTCACACTGAGGGTTTTGTGTGTGTTTAACTTGGTTTCACTCCCCGCTCCAATGAAAATCCAGTGTCCTGCCACTAAAATAAACCATAGAAATGAAGCAAATATAGTTAAGATAAAACTTATAAAACTCCTAAAAGGCAGGTCCTGCTTTCAGACTCTTAGCAAAATCAGTAGGGCCTCGAATTTTGATTAACACAAATGAGCTTTGCTCTGATCAACTGTTAAAATGTGTAGGTACCAAAGGTGGGGGGGGGGATGAAGGTGCCGTTTGCTTGGCTCATATCCTGTTCTAACCACATGAGCAATCACCACAGATGCTAAGATAGCCGCTAAACAAGCTGATTTTAAAAGGATTTTATAGCCGGTTTTAGTAACTTGTTGAAATCCTCTTGCAATTTTCCAGTATATTTGATAAAGTGATTTGCAAGCTTGTTATGTGTCAGCTGCTGTATAAATATTGTATAATGTTCAGAGCACCAGTGGCAAGGCGACTCCCCTGATAAGCATATCAGAAAATAAAGGATAATGGAATCAGAGAATGGTAGAGTTAGAAGGGACCCCAAACTCTCTGCAATAAACCATCCGTGACTGATGGTCACTTAAAGGTAAAGCTACCCCTGACCATTAGGTCCAGTCGTGACCGACTCTGGGGTTGTGGCGCTCCTCTCGCTTTATTGGCTGAGGGAGCCAGCGTACAGCTTCCGGGTCATGTGGCCAGCATGACTAAGCCGCTTCTGGCGAACCAGAGCAGCGCACGGAAACGCCGTTTACCTTCCCGCTGGAGCGGTACCTATTTATCTACTTGGACTTTGGCGTGCTTTCGAACTGCTAGGTGGGCAGGAGCAGGGACCGAGCAACAGGAGCTCACCCCGGCGTGGGGATTCAAACCGCCGACCTTCTGATCTGCAAGTCCTAGGCTCTGTAGTTTAACCCACAGCCCTACCCGCGTCCCTGATGGTCACTTAACTTCTGCTTAAAAAACTTCTAGTGAAGGAGAGTCCACAACCTCCCAAGGGAATCCGTTCCACCATCGAACAGCTCTTGCTGTCAGAAAGCTCTACTACCTGATGTTTAGTCCGAATGGATTCACAAACCTTAAATTGTTTTAGAATTAAGTGAATGAGGCTAGATCAGGGTAGATGTTTGCATACAGGGTATGAAGCCAGAACCTAATTTCTCAGCTGTTGGGAACAGATAAGCACACCGCTGGTGAGGTCACGCCGTCCACCCTTGGGTGGAGCAAAATCACCCAGCTTCCCATGCACACAACCCCACCAGGCGAACTTCTGGGACGCTGGAACTAGATTGCTTCGGTTTGGTAAGAGCGCACACGCGAAACACTGAGATAGTGTCCGGTCGGATTTTTAATGGGTAGTTGATCGTGTACAACTTTGTCATGTTGATCTAATTTATCCACTCTGTGCCTAATTTCATCTCACATGACAAGTGCACTTAAGACTATCTACCATGAGTTCCCTACTCATGCTCATGTCTTCTCGATGTTTACTTCCGATTAGAAATTCGAATTAGACTACGACTTGCAACAGCGTCTATCCCCCGTGTTTAAGTATGTACTTCTTATATGTATTTCATTTTTACAGTTCCGTTATGACCACTTTCACAGAATTTAGTTAAGGCTCTAATTACTACAATTACACTCCCAACGACGAGGCAGACAATTAACTTCATGGATTCGCCTCCAAGATTTAGCTCACTGCAACAATGCTAGACTTTTTGCCTTTCTCTGCTCAGGCTTCTGCTGTATACCAGTCCAAGTATCACATTTAGACGAGTTGACATTGACGTTCCCTGATGAGTCAACACTCACTGTGATAATTCTTAGTTTATTATCTCATGCTCTTTGTCTATCCTCTTCTTGATGTAGTCTTCATGTAACTCACGAATGACCTCTGTAACGTCTTTGCGATAGATTATATCAGAGCGTCATGATCTGCACCAACGTCTTGTTAGCTTTTCATAAATATAAAATCCATTTCACGTTTGTGGTCCGGTGGCGCATATGTCGGTAAGACGTTGTTCACACCAGCAGAGCCTCGTAGATGTTGTAGGGACTCGAGAATCCTATAAAAGTTCGTCCAGTGCCGTCACCTTTGTCTTGCGGTCCCATTCCCACTTCTATGACGGATCATGTGCTCCTATCCTCTCGTTGCATTCCGTTACTACCCAAAGCGTTCCACTGCGTTGCTTGCCAACGCTCTAAGTCAGTATCAGAACAAGCTCCGTCCAAGTCACAAGTTAGATATAATGACCAAATTTCCTCCTTAGCCGTGGCACAGGTAATTAACGGACATGTTTTCTCACTCTGGAGTTTCTTCGGCTTCATTCTATGTTACCGAGGGGAGCGCTAGCCCCTACCCCGCCGTGAAACACATAACCCGCCTGTTTCTCACAAACAGCTGACGTTGCGAAGCGAGGTCTTAGCCTATAACAGCCACCCATTAGTCTCACGGTAGTTTTAATTGCTCCCTTAAAGTAATAAATATTAAAATAAAGGTTCACGATGGTGACAACTCAATTGGGGCAGGGGAGTCGGACCATATATTATACCAATTGTGTGTTAAAATCCTTTTTGACTGGCAGCACTTATAATAATAGACCAAAAAGTAACATGCACTAAAAATACCCTGAATTCATTTGCTAATAGCTGTATATATATCCTGCACTGCACAGACGGAAGTGTATTTGGTCTTTGGTATGGAGCTTTATCGTATGTAGTCACAGGGAGCTCAATGCCAACCTTTAAGATCGCAAAAAATGATGCCACACATGTGAGCAATCTAGGTGCTTGTCACCGAATCGAAAAAAAACAAAAAAAAACAAACAGCTGGCGTGGGGCTCCTACATTCGCCAGATGCTCGCATACTTAAAGCGCCAATCGTGACTATCTAACTACTACTTAAAGACGAAGCATATTAAACTTAACAAGTAATTAGTTCTTCGGAGGTCCTTATTGAAAGAGTTTCTGGTCACAATTCGGCTGTAGAAAGCCATCAGCGTGCCTTGAGCGCGCTGAACCAGCACTTTTATCACAACATCCTACCTGAGAGCAGGATTTGTACACGTCGGCGCTTCCTCCTCGCCAACGAGTTGTGCTAAGATGTCAATTCGCAGCGGCAAGCGCCGCTTCTAGTTCTTTTATACGTATCCTGCACCTGCCCGGACCGCAATACCTACACGCTAGTTTGGGAGCGACCGCATCGCAAAGCCCAAGCTGATACAGCGACAACACCCGCCCCACAGTCTACGATCATGCCCTTAAGACCGTGATTGGAGGCGTGCATCAATGCGATTACCATCTCTCCCCTCTCTTTCATGCATAGTACTCCCGCCTCCGGTGCACGACCGCCACCGCAGACCGAGGAGGATGCTTAGTGCAAAAAGAGCCGATAGGCGGACTTCTCCAGGAGCCAAAACAGCGGGTTGCAGATCGCACGGGTGAACAATATTACTAGAAATCTCATATCTCGGGTTCTCATCTATACCAAACTCTAGCATGGTAATCTTCTTCTATATCATGATCTACATTGGCTCATTTGGGCAGAGATTGTCATTCCCTGATGATGGTCTAGCCCAATATTTTCCAATTCTCATCGATGGTGTATCGTCTCTAGTCCTTTTCTCTTGCCCCTGGCCAATTAGCGCTTCTGGGCTTAAGACAGACTTACGATGATTGTTTACGGATAATGTGGACTAATCCACCTGCGGAATCATTATGAATCTGCACAGAGTTGAAGGTACCCTGCAGGGCCCTATCATCTATCCAGGTGCTGCATTTACCTTCGCTGGTGCTCCGAGCGAGATGGCCGTATCCTGACGCAGCATCGTGTAGTCCTTACACAGTGCTGTGTGAGACTGCGGCTACCGAGGGCGCGTGGCTATAGACTGAGGAGGCCAGGCTTAACCTCGAGCTAGTGCGTCAGTTGGTGTTCCGCTGCCCGCGGACGATTCTCTGCTGCTTTGTGGCTGTGAACGACTCGTGTACTGAGCTCTCTGTGACGGAGTCGCTACCATTGGAGGATGCGTGCTGGCATGAGGTGACAACACGCACGTGTCTCCCTAGCACGCTGTGACTCAGCGTTGCTCGCAACGGCTCCAAGGCTATCCCAGATCGCATGCGTCTCCGATAATTATATCTGTGTAACACTAGTCCCGAGGATGCATTCAGCTGGTCCCAGTTTGTTGTTTTTTTCTATACGCTGATAACGGATCAGAGGTCGTTATAAGTTAGTCCTTAAGTCAGACCAGGACCTCCATCTAAGTAGCGGCTTTAACCCCATCTGTCGTGCGGACTTTTGCAGCTCGTACCTGACAGGCATTAAAACTTCTGCAACACCTGCTGCGGATATTATCCAGTCGAGTTCAAAAGTTAAAGTACACACGGAGCAGTTACTCCCATCGTGACGCGGTACATGTAGGTTGTCGGTCTATTACCTCAGACTATACTGCACAGAGTGATGGAGTGACGTCGCGTGCTGCATACAGCTCTCACTGGTCATCTGTGGTCGGCACGAGAAACGCCGTCTAGTGAGCCTTTCGCCATGAAAGTAGCATTACCTATGTGTAGTCCTACATTCGTGAGTCTTGATCTGACGTTTCGAACTGGCTGCGGGTGGCATTAAGAGGCAGAGAAATGCCCCGAGGCTACATTTGGTGAAGCTTCCACCGCGCGGCCCTAGGGTACTTCCTGTCTGAGCCTTCTGATCGGCCCAAGTCCATGGCCATATAGTGGGTTTAACCACAGCGCCCCGTTTCTACGCGATCTACAGCCTCTCATATATTCCGTAAAAGTCCACACGTGGAACTCATTGTCCGACAAACAATAATAAACATTAAGTATCGACAGTTTGTCTCACCCCAGGCCGTCTCAGGCAGGAGCTGTTGCGAAGACTGTTGCGATCCCATCAGCCTCAGAGAAGATCGCGCCAGATGATTCTAGTGCTCGGAGCCGCTCGGTGAAGTTGCCTCGTCACGTTGAGAAGAAGGACTACTTCTGATCTCTTCGCTTCAGTGAAGTTTACAGCTTCATATACCCACGCGGAGCGCATTCCCACGTTTCAGTCTACAGATACACAAGAAACCAACAGTGCAATGCGGCTACAAGGTGTGCTTTCACTCAATCGACAGTTCTGCGCTAAATATGCAACTAGACCAATACCGCGATCCTCAATTCTTAATCTTTCCTACCGGCTCCGCGATGGAGTCGTGATCCGCCTGGTTAAATGAAGTATTTGCTAGCTTATTTGGGAAGACTGACACGGTCGATGGTCTCGTCATCCAACTCACTATGGTTGCAGAAGGAGGTGTGGGTCACAGGACGTAGTACCTCGACACAGCCAGCTTTTGGCTGTATAGTGATTTCTCAACTACGTCATTCTCGCGAGGAGGTCTCCTCTCGCGCATTTCCTTTCACACCCCATGTATGCACCATACATTATCCCTAAATACTCTAGCTCCCCTAGCAGTCGTACCACTTTTTCTACCCTACACAATTCTAAGGTTTGTGACCTCCTCTGCGACATATTCTGGACTGGTAATAAACTGCGTCTCGAGTATTAGAGAGCTTTTCTGACAGCACTAGAGCCTCGTATAAATTATCAATGGCTAGGACGGATTCCCCTGTAGGTGTGGGATCGTGCATATCCACCTAATGGTAGCTGTTTTACCAGATAGGTTCATACGTGACCTGATCTACGGCGTATCCCATGTATACGCGTCTGGTGCTAAAGTCTACGCAGACGATGTCCTATGGTCTGATTTGTTGAGTGCAATTCTAGAGGGTTCGGGCGGTTTATTTGAGATCCGCTCACGCCTGGCTCAGGTAGAGCAATCTTGCTCTGCTTCTTGCTTTGGGTCCTGAAGCATCACATGCTCACACGCGCATACAGCATTACGATGAAGAGCTACGCCGCCGAATAATGTGCCGAGATTAGTATTGCCCCTTCCCAGAGTTTAGGGTGTTAAAGCCAGTTCTCTCTCTGAAAGAAGAACTAGGTTCGTTAGCATCGTGCGTTTATCGCAGATGGCGCTGTATTACATCGTTATGCGCCTACGCAAGTACAAGCGGGTTACGACTTAGGAATCAACAGTCATGTGAAGACGCACTGGAAGAGCTGATACTCTGGTGCAGCACCTTACAGCCACAATTATTCAAAAACGGTGATCCTAGTCAAGGATGAGGAGGAGGAGCGTGCACTGATTCACTTTCTCATACCCGAGAAGTTACAGGTGGAATCTAGCCTGAATCGGCTTCCTAGTCGCAGCCACTCAACTTGTCCGTTCGAGGAGCGCCGTTAGAGTCTGGTGTGTCGCATTGTCACCAGGTGTGACTCCCTTAACTTCCTCTCAGAATGCACCGCCCTTTTCTCATTGCGATCATTAGCTCTTCGCATGCGAGTATTGCGGCTCCTACCTCCTTTCTGAGTCACTGTACACATATCTGCACTGATATCCATTATCTTTTATATGGTCTTAATATCGGGCTCTATCCGGGCCGAGTCCCTTGCCACTTTGGTAGCTCTGAACAATTAGACAATATTACTTTCCACAAACATTTAGTGTCTATATTAGCAGCTGAAGAAACCAACATGTAACAGCTGTCAAGAATACACTTTATACAAAGGTGTTATGAGCTGGTAGAGTTGTGGCAGAGAGGTCTCCTCAATACACATTACTAGAACCGTCTATACAATCTTTTCTCAAATCAGCCTGAAGCTTTTAGCGAGGCCATATCTTGAGCATCTGTATGGGAATTGACTCATTAGCTGGTATTCAACTGACAGCGTTCATTATTTCGACACCAGCAAAACGGCAGCGCTTTCTCATGCCTACCCGCCGACCATCTCCGGTACCTACACTTTTTTTATCTACTAGCTTTTTATCTGAAGATCCAAAGTGCCCACTTTCCGTGCTACTTATTCATAAGATATCCCGGTCGCACCTACTGGCACTAATGACTAAGAGTCTGCGATAAGGGATGGGAGAAATGCCTAAGTTAGGAGTTTTATAAAACTTTATCTTTAATTATTGCTTCATTTCCTCCATGTGTGTATAGTATTTTATATGAGCAGGCAGAGCATAACTGATTTTCGTTGACGATGCGGCGAGCTTGGAATAGGCCAAAGTAGTATGACAACTACCAGCACACATATAAGGAACTCGCTCTAGTGTAGCAATCTCCACTATTATAAGCGGTCTATCACCCTCAAAGAGTCAGTATAGGACAACGATCCAGATATGATACCTCACGAGTAACTCCTTTACGACCTAGCAGGAGGATAGAGAGATGGCTACCAACACCGTCAGTGTTTTAACAATATTAACTATACAATATGGTCGCCCCCTGGAGTAACAAATATGTTAAAAACAACATTGGCCCACCATAAGACTAAAGCGAAACAAAAGAAGGTGTCTATAGTGAGCATCCCGTAAGTCATAAGACACATTTATCCTCCTGCAATCAAGACTTTGTTTCGTGGACTTAGCAGGCCCTACTTTGTATCGCATGGCATTGAAACAAATCATACGAGTTGGACAAGTAATTCTATATGGGAGACTAAAGAATTAGGTTGGAGAAGTGGTATAGATGTCACAGGAGGCGTGTCGTAAATTATCATAATTTCTAGTAATACAGGTCACTTGTTCATTTTAATGTCATCGTTCAGTAGCAAGCTAGCATCGAGGATGTTCACATATTAAACACACAAAGTGAGTGTGGAATTCAAGTAGAGAACAGGTGTAGAGAGACCTAGTTCCGCGTGTTAGCCTCGGCGGCCGAATATGCCTTATTTTATATTCTAATATTTGTCAGGGCGCTGCGTCCAAAGACACTCATAAGCAACAGACGGTGAAAGATTATGCATATTCTTCTTAGTCACCATACAGGGTTGTTGGCAATACAGAACCTCGATGTGATCACTAAGTGAAAACAACCGAGAGAGATATGTTTCTATCTAGGATGTTGTGCCAAGTTGCTGGCTCAAGAGGTAGATTCGATAAGTGTGGCGGGCAGTATACCTTACTTTCTTCTCTCTTGATCGTTCGTCGCCTTTCAACTCCTACTTCTGTGCACAAGAAAGCTTGCATTGTGATCATCTAATGAGAGTGCTTAAGTCGTGTTTTGTAGTGTTGTCTATGCGCATGCTAAGCCATTGCCAAGAACCTAGACGGCCTCACCGATGATGTAACGGAGAACGTCCAATATGGCCAATGCGTGACCTGAGGTTGCAGACGAGAGTTGTAGTTCTAAAACATCTGAATGAGGTAGGACAGGTTCGTTCAGCATACAAGGCATATATCGATAGACCTATAGACGCCCAAAAGCATATAGGCATACCGCAGACGGCTTCGAGACAATACCATCTACACTATTACGAGCCGACCGCGTGCTTGCCCTCCGTCCCCCCACCAATTTGTCTCAGCAACACACTACCTCAAAGATATCGCTAGTAGAGCCTCTGATTTACTTACCTAGGCACACGCAAAGCATTGCGCCCTCAAATTCGTATGCATAGGATAGCTGCGAGGGAAGATGTTCAACTAATTGGCGGTCCACCCAGCCACCAGGATTTTACTTGACACAAGAGGGTCGGAGGCGGAGGGAACTTTTATTTGTTCTATTTATATCCATTTCCTCTCTTTGCCAATAGATGCGTTACGCAAATGAGGCTCGAAAAAGATTATTGCAATATGGTGGAGACAGGCGACGGCGCTTGAGGGCGAAACAGCTTCCCTCCATGGCGAAGGCAGTAGGGATAGCCCAGATCCCGGCGGTGTCAGACTTAGTGGATTACCTGACAGCACCCAATTAGCAATCGCACACCATACTGCTGCAACATTGCTGCTAGTGTGATAGCCGCCGCATTAATTCTTTTTTCTCGCTAAAAGACGGATAGCTACTCTGAGGATTCACCATGTCATCTAAATCACGCCAGTCTGGATCCGCTTAAGAGAATCACATAACAGGATAGATTGCCCTAGAGAGGCCGTATCACACCACTAGTGAATTGGTAAGAGGATAAGCAAAGGCGATGGGATTGGACACACAGGACCCCCAATATAACAAAGATGAGAATTAGAATATTAAGCTCCAATAGATCAAGTAAGTAAGTGACATTAGCGAAATTGCTGAAATTCACATTTGGGAATATGTCCTACTATAAGTAGGAGATTCTCCCTCAGTACACTATCATAGTTACAGTTACTGAGTCACCATCTAGAGTTATCAATACAATACGGCATATTCAGGCTATAATCAGAAAATATCAGTCTACAAACCTTAGATAATATTTAGTCACATCTGTGTTTAAAAAACTTTGTCTTCAAGCTTGAGAAACAGAAGTTTAATCATCAGCTAGGCATCGGTGTAAGTGCTCCCCATAGTAAGCTATATATAATTAAATGTGGCATTACCAGCAGTTGTTTAAGAATTTTCACATTTGTTACTGGCATGTAGACGAAATGACCTCTCTTGAACACCAGATCCTTAATAGTAAACTTAACCTCCGTCACAGTTCCTTCTTGCAGAAACAGTCTGTTTTTGGCTACCACTGGATCCTGAATTCACTCATCACATCAAAAACCAGCGAAGTATATGCCCTGTCGTAGAAATCCCCGAGTGTTTAGATATAGCCCCAGCGCGGTCTACGAAGTCTTGACGCCTGCCCCGCTATCGTTCTGGTTATCAACTTGGCATATTTTCGATAGCCCCCCATCCACATGATGGACCCAAACAACAGCCAGTGGATAGATTTGGGCGGCTTTGGCTCGCTGTGAATAAGCGCCGGAGACGAGGAAGCGGGTGAAATGAAGGTTTTTCAGCATCTGATGCATTGCCCACCGAGAAAAGGTGTATCGCACACTCCCCTTTTGTCGGTTAAATCTAGATACACCTGGAATATAACTTCTTTAGGAGGTATTTGGTTCCTACCGTAGTCGAGAGGTAGTACGCACACCTTGAAGTGTGAAAAGCCTCCAGGATGGACACATCCTGTTTGTCCGTAACCAACTGTCATAAGCCCTCTTACTCCCAGATTGCCGCAATACTGTCAGGTGTTAAAAATGCCAGAGGTGGCCCCTTTCTCTCGGCACAGATTTTTCTCGGGCCACGCCCGACCCATTCTTTCGCCTTTTCCACATCAACTTCCCAGTAGACTCTCCCCGAGGTGTATCCGTTTAAGCCCAGCACACACTGACGGTTCTCAAATCTCTCAGGGTGATAAGGCATCTCCTCAGGCGACTCGTGCGACTCCCAGGCACTCCACTGGTCCTCTGAAAGGACCAGCGAGGTGTGTGCTGTGTCAGGATCCAAGTACAGACTTTCTGCAAGAGGAAGGGGAGGTTATAGGATGGCTAAGCTGCTCTGCAGAAAAAAGAATTACTGTGTTTATTTTAAATATATACTACTTGATATAATAAAAAATCTATGCCGTTTACTTTTTAAAAATTGTAATAAAAATGTACTGTTTTATTGTAATTATTTGTATGATGTATAATAGATAGATGGAGATAAAATACTATCAATGTTTAGTTGTTTTTTAATTATTGGTTTTCCCATGTTTTTAGTGTTTCTTATTTTTATCGGTAAGCTGCCTTGATGTAACGATCTCAGGCAAGCCTCGATAAGAATTAATGCCTCCCTGGCAGTTTTATGGTGCGTTCATTTACAAGTTACACTCAGAGAGTGGCTCCCAGCCTGCCGCTCTTGAAAGGAGTTACTCATTCTGAAACTCCACCTTGGTCACAACAGAAAATATGCCAACGTCCAGCCTTTCCCCTGTTGCACTTCCATTGCATTCTGACCTTTACAGCTCTCCTGGAATGAGGAGGAGGAGGGGGGAATTCCCACACCCCTCTCTCAAAGGAGGAGCTCTGACCTCTGACTCTCTGCTGGTTGCCTAGCAACTTCCCTACTGCCATCTATTTCTCCCCCTTCTTGTGAGCTGTCCATGTCTGCTCTAGCTGAGTCAGATAACTCTTGGTGAAGGGGGAGAGTCGAGCCCACTTCCTCCTGCTCTGTCTGCCATCTTTCGTCTCCAGAGTAAGAATCTGTCTCTCCTTGTACTAGCAATCTTTCATCTCCCAAGTCCGACTCTTCCTCCTCTGATTCAGCCATGTACCTGACGCTTGAGGCTGTCAGGGGAAAAGGCAGAATATAAATAAAATACATAAGAGGAAGAAGAATTTCCTTCACCTTTAGCCATGATTGCAAGGGATGCTGGGTTCAGCAGCATCTGGAGGGAAAGGTTGCCCACATCCTTTGAGTACCATGACCCATTTCTGGGCTCCATCACCATAGTAAAACATAACAGCATCCCAATAAGGGCCATGGTGTACAACTGCCATCACAAGGGAGCCTGTTCGTGGATCTGCCACACCAAGTCCAGTTTGACTCTCAGTTATCCCTCAGTGAACTCACCTTTTTCATATTTCTTCAGGACTTCGTTTCTGGCTTTCCACAGCTCAGTTGCCATCTGATCTAGAAAGGGCAGGGAGGATAACAGAAAGCATTAGAATAGGGGTCCCTAAAACCTTTTGTGGATGAACTTCAGTGATGTTTTCTGCAGCTTGTCTGAGGATTGGTGACTGAAGATGAGGGACTGCACAACCATCACACCAAATATTCTGACTGATTTTTAATTGCATGTTTGTGGTTGTAATTTAGTGTGCCGTATCGCAATTTAAATTCTGCTCTGCTGCAAGTGAATGGGCACTGAAGAGAGCTGTGAGGAGGAAGGGGCCTTCTCAAGAGTAGGGGTCCACCAAGGGCATCACACCCAAAGGCGCTCCAGGACTGTGAGCCAGGACTGAAGCCGATAGCCTTGTTCCACTCTATCACAGGAAGTGACGCATCCACTTCTCTCCTGCTTACTGATACCTTTGAATTTCTGAAACGTCTTCTTCAAAGTTTTATTTAGCTCAGTGATTTCGTAGCATTTGTTTTCCAGATCCCCAGAACTGTTTTCCTTATAATGTTCTTCACCAAACCTGGAGAGGGGAAAACAATAGCATGCTGTTCACTTGTCTTCTGTTGATTTGCTTCTGCAAAAATGAACTTTTGAGGAACACAAAATTACACACACACACACAAACATGTCACTGAAGGTATTGAACCATCAGGAAAACAGCCCAAGTGTATCTCCCACCACACTTATGTTAAGATGGTGATAACGGACAGATCTAAAGGCAGGAGGCCATGATTAGTGCAAAAGATCCTCTGGAGAGAGACTTAAAAATTCTACTTGTGGAAGGTGGAGGGAGGAGGCAAAAGGATGAGATACATACCAGTTGATTCTTGACCTCCTCTGCAAAATGAATGAGCCGTGTGTTTTCATAGCTATGTTATTTTGTCTTGACACGAGGAAAAGATAAGAGGAGGCATTTGATTTTATCAGATGTTTGGAGAGCTGTGGCTGGGATGGTTACGTGGGAGCTGGTTGAAGTTAAATCCTTCGAAGGACAGAGGTCCTTTGCCTGGGTCGGGACGATATGGGATTGGGGGGGCAACTCCCATCTCTTGCGGGGGCGCAATTAGTGCCAGCACCGTCCGTTAAGAGTTTGGGTGTAATCTTCGACACCTCCCTTTCCATGGCGGCGCAGATTGCAGCTATAAACAAAGGCGGCATTTTTTCATCTCCGCCAAGCTAAGCAGTTGGCCCCTTATCTCTCTCGCCCTGACCTAGCCACTGTGTCCACGCGACGGTCACCTCCAGACTGGATTATTGTAACTCGCTCTACGTGGGGCTGCCCTTGAGACTGACCCAGAAACTCCAGCGGGTGCAGAATGCCGCGGCGAGACTCCTTATGGGGTCCTTCGCTGCGAGATCACATTCACCCGGTGCTATACCAGCTGCACTGGCTCCCGGTGGAGTACAGGATCAGGTTTAAGGTGCTGGTTTTAACCTTTCAAAGCCCTATACGGCCTAGGACCCTCGTACCTATGGGACCTGCCTCTCCTGGTATGTCCCACAGAGGAACTTACAGTCTTCAACCAAAAACAATCCTGAAAGATCCCAGGCCACAGAGAGGTTCAAGCTGGCCTCAACTAGGCCAGGGCTTTTTCGGCTGTGGCTCCGATCTGGTGGACGCTCTGTCACAAGGAGACCAGGGGCCCATGCGGGACTTGACATCTTTCCGCAGGGCCCTAACAAGACAGAGCTGTTGCCACCAGGCCTTTTTGGGCCAGGGCCACAGCCTGACTCCCTACCTATTGGCAATCCTCACAGAACTCTAGCCCAATGGTTGCCATTAATCTGATTGGGAATTAATTTTATAATGAAATGATTTTAGGAAATATTTTATCATTTTTACTGTTGTTAGCCGCTCCTGAGCCCGCTTCGGGGTGGGGAGGGGCAGGATATAAATAACATTATTATTATTATTATTACAGATAGGTAGGCCGTGTGGTTTGCCATAGTCAAAACAAAAAAAAATCCTTCTAGTAGCACCAATAAAACCAAATAAGTTAGTTCTTGGTATGAGCTTTCGTGTGCAAGCACCACGAGTATCTGAAGAAGTGTGCTTGCACACGAAAGCTCATACCAAGAACTAACTTAGTTGGTCTTTAAGGTGCTACTAGAAGGATTTTTTGTGTTTTTTTATTATTATGCTCAGCAAAGGATTTAACAACATTTTATTATGTCCTCCCCCCTTGACCAAGGTTGAAATGGACTTTATTTAAATTATCTTTAAGGGAGCAATTAAAAGAAGATGAATGGCTGCTTAACTAAATCTGGCAAGAGCCTGTGTTTGTGAAAAGGCTGGGTTTTTTTAACTGCGTGCTGAGGAAGAACTCCAGAGTGAAATTTTAATGGCAGAGATTGGTCATCATGATGGAGAGTTATTTATAGCCGCAACCTGTTGGTGAACAGAGGAAGGAATGATCTCCAAGGAATGGAATGTGACCGAACAAAGGAGGATGGGAATTAACTATCTCAACACACCAGGTCTGGGAACAACGTTTATGCAGGACCACAAACGTGAAATGGATTTTATATTTATGAAAAGTAACAGAGGTGCTGAATGTGAGTAAACTAGCAAAGTCGGCTGTGAGAATGGACTAACATCAAGAGAAGGATGAAGAGGAGTTTAAACAAGAATCAAGTGGCTACATCAGGAAGTAATGAACATATGTTTGCAACAGGAGTGGGAAAACATTTTGTATTAAATTTAAATAATTTGGACTGGTTTGTAATAATTTGGAAAACCAATAAAAATAATACATATAAGATACATACCAGTCGGTGAACGTTTTCATCTTCCTAGAAGAAGGAGAAACAGAGAAAACGAGTAGTCAAGTTTGTAGGGAGATGAAAAAAGGATATCTATAAAGTTGTAAAAAGTCAACTCCCATTAAAATCCACCGGGATCCCAGTTTGGTGTGTCTTACCATTTTGCAGGGCTCTGTGGTGACATGAGAGAATTTCCACCCCGCAAGTGCACCCGTGCCGCTGTTTTTTAAGGAATTATTCCACCAGTCTCATGTTTAATTGTAGCACAGAGATTGGCGCAACTAGGAACTGCAGTTGCCACACAGTGAGCGGATTTAATCCATCAGGAGCTGTAATGGATTGTGCTGCACAGGGTTCAGTTCCCCACAACAGGACAGGGATTACGACTGCAAATGAACCATGTCTGAAATTTGCACTTTGAAAACCGCTCGTGCTGCTGCATGAGCAGTGCAAAATCCCATGGTGATTTCTGAAACCTGGGCTTCGCAATCCTCACTGCAGGAGCTTGCATTTTTTATAACATTCTCACCTTGCAAAATTCATCCGATCGGTGACGATGAATCTTCTCTGCCTCACTGATCAAGACATTGACTTGGGATGGTCCTTTCAGGAGCTCAACCCCTAGCTGAGAACACATCTTCTCTACAGCACTGGTCAAGACATTGAGCTGAGTCACATCCCTGGTATATTTGCTGTCGTCTTCCTTCTTCTTCTTTAAGATTGTGCTTTTCAGCTCTTCCAGGTAGAGCACCAGGAACTGCACCTGATCCTTCAAAGACTGGCAGAAGTTTTCGACCTCAGTCACTAACGCCTGGTGTGCAAGGCTTGCCTGATCCTGTGGTGGGACAGAAACAAAGAACAAGCCAAACAAGAAAATTATTCCTTGCAGCAGAACTGTAGGTTCAAACTATATATGCTAAACCTTTGATGACTGGATCATAGGCCTGCAAGCATCTTACCCACTGCCTTTCCCAACAGATTTCATGTTATTATTTGGCTGCCTACAGACAATGCATTTAAAACACATGACTTAGCCCCATAGAATCCTGGGAAGTGTAGTTTGTTAAGGGTGTTGAGAAGCGTAGCTCTGAGGGCTACAGTTCTCAGGATTCTTTGAATGAAGCTGTATGCTTTAAATGTATGGTATGTCCCTGGCAAATCAAGTTGATGGAATATGCCAAAAATTAACTGGAAAGCTCAGAAGCCAAGACGACAAATTCAGAAAAGAGTGGGAAATGTTTATTATATATATGCAAAAGTATTGTAAACAAGTTAACACACTGGCAGGATTTTAAGAACACTTGTAATTTCAGAAATATAATAGGAAAAAAATGGTTGAAATTTTTTTTGTAGTAGTAATGATAGGCAGTTGAAAAGAAAAATTAAGGAATCAGAGGAGGGGGTGGAGGGAAGATTTGGAGAATCCCTATTTTTGGATTTGAAATTGTTTTGACATACAGTTGTGTGCGTGTGCGACTATTGTTTCTGTTATGGTGATTTTTACCTTTGTATAGTTGGAAGAAAATCTAATAAAATATATTTAAAAATAAAATAAATGTATGGTATGTCCGCAGCCTCTTTTTGATTTATTTCACATATACGTGAGTATTGCTCTGTTTTCCTTTGGACCACACCAGTGAGGGCGGGGGGGAGGGTGTCTTGTTGTCTGGGCAGCCCAGGACCTCCATACACACCACCCAGGCTTGCACCCTGGGGAGGTCACTTCATTGCTGCTAATGTTTGACTTCACCCTCAGAGGCGCACTCCATTGTCTCTTGTGACAGGCGGGTGCCAACAACATGAGTAGACAGATACAACAGCTTGTACTTGCATTCAGTGCAACGTATAAACAAGCCTCAAACTAGTGGGCAGTTCATACTGTCAGGAAGCTCTTTCTAATGTTCAGGCAAGAACTTTTTGTTCTTACGTGAGGACTGAAATAAAAAACGATGATGCACTTTTTAATGGACTGAAAAGTGTGCAAGCAACGTGGTAGCTTAGGTAGCCCTCTCATAAGATGGGAGGGGTGGCTAACACCCCAGAGGACAGGATCACACTTCAAAACGACCTTGACAGATTAGAGAACTGGGCAAAAACAAACAAGATGAATTTTAACAGGGAGAAATGTAAAGTATTGCACTTGGGCAAAAAAAATGAGGGGCACAAATACAAGATGGGTGACACCTGGCTTGAGAGCAGTACATGTGAAAAGGATCTAGGAGTCTTGGTTGACCACAAACTTGACATGAGCCAACAGTGTGACGCGGCAGCTAAAAAAGCCAATGCAATTCTGGGCTGCATCAATAGGAGTATAGCATCTAGATCAAGGGAAGTAATAGTGCCACTGTATTCTGCTCTGGTCAGACCTCACCTGGAGTACTGTGTCCAGTTCTGGGCACCACAGTTCAAGAAGGACAGTGACAAACTGGAACGTGTCCAGAGGAGGGCAATCAAAATGGTCAAAGGCCTGAAAACGATGCCTTATGAGGAACGACTAAGGGAGCTGGGCATGTTTAGCCTGGAGAAGAGGAGGCTAAGGAGTGATATGATAGCCATGTTCAAATATATAAAAGGATGTCACATAGAGGAGGGAGAAAGGTTGTTTTCTGCTGCTCCAGAGAAGCGGACATGGAGCAATGGATCCAAACTACAAGAAAGAAGATTCCACCTAAACATTAGGAAGAACTTCCTGACAGTAAGAGCTGTTCGACAGTGGAATTTGCTGCCAAGGAGTGTGGTGGAGTCTCCTACTTTGGAGGTCTTTAAGCAGAGGCTTGACAACCATATGTCAGGAGTGCTCTGATGGTGTTTCCTGCTTGGCAGGGGGTTGGACTCGATGGCCCTTGTGGTCTCTTCCAACTCTATGATTCTATGATTCTAAGATGGTCAGAGTGTGGTGGTTTGGACAGGACTTCTGCCCTGAGTACTCACAGCTTGGTTGTTTTGATGGTTTTAATATGCTGTGTTACTGCATAATGAAAATAAACACACACAGACACAGACACAGACACAGACACAGACACAGACACACACACACACAGAGAGAGAGAGAGAGAGAGAGAGAGAGAGAGAGAGAGAGAGAGAGAGAGAGAGAGAGTAACTTGAACCCATTGGTTTGGGTCTTACCATCCAGAGCAACAGAAAATAAAATTTGGTCTCTTGAGTAAGTGCCTGACATTCAGTTACTTGAAAATGACTATCAAATAGCTTCTTAATTCTCTCTCTCTCTCCTCCTGGGGAATGAGATAAGGCATAGCAGTGAGGCAGGGACTTCTCCCAGTCCACAGCAGGCCTCATATGCTGTCTCATGTAAACCATGCATCCATCTGTAGGTGCTGAGTGCTTATGCAAGACTTACCAGCAGTTCCTTGGCACCACATGCAAGAGCTTCTTTGAACCTTTCCACCGAAGCTTGTTGTTGCTTCAGCTTGCTCAGAATTTGCTCCTAAGAGGAAGTTGTGAAGGGGAGGAGAGAATTGGATTTTAGTTTGTTCCTGCCTTCAGACACATTACAATTAGACTTCTCAGGTGTAAGAACTTGGAGAAAAGGTCCTAGCATTCAGGAGTCAAAGGTAGTTGCAGTTTCTTTGCAGTTTCCTGCCCCAGAATACAACTCAGTCCCCCTGCCCACATTCAGGCTGCATTCATAGGACAGTTGGTTCTGTTTCTCTGACAGTTGAGTTCTGCAATATATCTGAGCTTCTACATGGAATAAAAGCCACTTCCAGACATATAGCAGAATATAGTGCAAATTTTATTGGCAAGCATATTTTTTCTCCTGGATGCAAATAACAGGGAAAACTGGCTATATTCTGCAATGCTACTAGAAGTGGTTGGTTGGTGCCTTGTACGCCTCCTTTCAGCAACTCCTGCAGCCAAACTGGTGCCAAATGTATTGCTCTGCTTTCTGTTATGGAAAAATCTAGGTGTGAGGCTGCTCAGTCACCCAAGGCCGCGGGTCCCTGCGGAATAAAGGAAGGAGTCCAGCCACCAACCGGAGCAAATAGCTGTAGACCAAAGTTTATTGCACAACAGGTTCAAAGAGGAATTTTGAACCCCGAGGATGGGGTGACAAAGACTTTTAAAACTTCCCCACCATATCCCAGAATACAGTTCGTACAGCATCATTGCTACATCACTGACATGTCACAAAAGAGGAGGGGTAGACAGGGATTACACTAGTTTAACCTTGGCAAGCATGTCCGGACAAGTCCTTGGTACAAGATTACCATAAGCAGACATGTCAGGGCAAGACCCAGGTACAGTGGTACTTCAGGTTAAGTACTTAATTCGTTCCGGAGGTCCGTTCTTAACCTGAAACTGTTCTTAACCTGAAGCACCACTTTAGCTAATGGGGCCTCCTGCTGCTGCCGTGCTGCCAGAGCACAATTTCTGTTCTCATCCTGAAGCAAAGTTCTTAACCTGAGGTAATATTTCTGGGTTAGTGAGTCTGTAACCTGAAGCGCATGTAACCTGAAGCATATGTAACCTGCGGTACCACTGTATAAGATTAGCATAGGCAAACACCTCTGAAGTCCCACAACACAAAGTACAATAGAACTTCCTTTGCATGTTTGGAGCCTGAGGCAAGTCTGGTGATGAGCTCTGGCTTCCCTTGGAGAACAATGATCCCAGCAATTATCACCTCTGGGCATTTCCTGGAGTGTATACATGTCTTCAAGTTTGGGGAGGTGGCAGGGGAAAAAGTCCTTTTTCCAAGGGCAAAATGGTGTTGGAATGGAGGAACTTGGCAAAGGTGTTGATTTTATACAATTCATAGGTAAAGTACCTGACCGTTATGTCCAGTCGCGGACAACTCTGGGGTTGCGGCGTTCATCTTGCTTTATTGGCCGAGGGAGCCGACGTTTGTCCGCAGACAGCTTCCGGGTCATGTGGCCAGCATGACTAAGCTGCTTCTGGTGAACCAGAGCAGCGCACGGAAACGCTGTTTACCTTCCCGCCGGAGCAGTACCTATTGATCTACTTGCACTTTGAGGTGCTTTTGAACTGCTAGGTTGGCAGGAGCAGGGAACGAGCAACGGGAGCTCACCCCGTCGCGGGGATTCGAACCGCTGACCTTCGGATCGGCAAGCCCAAGAGGCTCAGTGCTTTAGACCACAGCGCCACCCATGTCCCTATATATTTCATAAAGCTAGGTATATTCCCTGAGCTGTCAAGTCGAAAGGATACATTCAGCTATAATATTTTTAACTGTTAACAACTTTAAAGATGTGCCCCCCCGTAATTTCCATAACACTTTCCTTTGGACCACATCAGTGAGGCCGAGGGGGGGGGTGTAGTGAGTGGGACTATCCATCCCCCTGACCATTCCTCCTAGACACCGGCAGGACTTGGCCAGGAAGGGGGAGAGATCTCTAGTTGTTGCAAATCGAAGGCCAAACGGTAAAGCTGCCAAACACCTCCTTTCCTGGACCACCCTTGTAGGCAGTTCAAGGAGGAGAACCCCCCTTCGATATTTACCGGGTTGGCCCAGCCCTGAGTCACTTTACCGAGACGCAGACAGAAATTCAACAGGTAGGTGTCCAAACGGTCAGGCACCAGTTTAGCTTCCCCGAGCAAAGGCGCAGAGTACAAAAGACAAAAAGTCCTTTTCCAAGTTTATCGAACAAGCCACTCAAAAAGTTGCACGTTTCTTAGAAGGTTACAAACAAAAAATAAAAACATTGTAAAATATAACTAGCTAAAACCATATTCACACAGCAACAATAGTTCAAAAGGCTCTTCCTTCGTTCCCAGGCTTCTCTTACAAGTACCAGGCTCCAAAACTGTAAATTACTTTATAGCCTCCTGTGCCTTATTTACAACCCAATCTACACCTAGCTGTGCCAGGGTCTGCAAATCAGATAAGCTCTCATCCTGCCTAGAGTCAAGATGTAATTGACTCACACTTCTAGAGACAGGAAGTTTTATGTTTAAAGAGACCAAACAACTGTTGCAGGAATTTATGTATAGGTGGGGGGGGGGTTGCTCCTCCAGCAGATATCCTGCACATGCAGTCCACTACCAAAATCAGCACAATCGCTTTTGTGACTTTTGTGATTTGTCCCCACAAAACACTTCAATACAGCTTCTTCCTGTCTATTCAAAGGGCATTTGCTGCACGATACCAAATGTAACATTTCACGGATAAATGTATCTGTGTACTGGCTCACTGGGAAAACTTCAGAAATTCATATAGACATGTGAGCTCAGCTACTCAGCAGCCCCTCTGCCTGAGTGATAATCCCTGGCATCCTGATACCTGAGTGCCAGACAGGTAGCCATTCCAGAAATAACAAACCCAGATGAAGACAAAAGGGTGTGATTAACTTGGCTGGGAAACAGGGAAATGTAAATATCTTTTTTGTTACACTTGATGGGTGTTTGGTGGAGGGCAAGGAGAGCCATGGGGCAGGGTCCAGGATGCTCAGATTACTGCCACCAGACCTCCCCTTTCATGATGTAACCGTGATGTATGAGTGATGTAGTTTGGGGGGGGTAACATGGGGATTAGCAGCTAATAAAAGTTTGGGGGCGCTTTTGTTCAGGGCTTCCATCTTGTTCCACCTTGTGGCAGGTGGGAGTCCTGTCGCCACAGTCTTCAGTAAAGACCAAGCCTACTGGCTGCTGTTTTGCTCTGGTATTCCTGACAAGTGTCCTTGTTTTTTTGTCCAAGGAAGCCCTCAGATTTCTCCGTTAACACAACCATTCCCCAGAAGGCCACAATTTTATCTCTCCCACAATGCCTCACTCCTGCGTGAACCAGCATTTGGCATACTGAGATTTCCCAACTTCACTACAGGGGGTCTCGTAGCCTAGGCAGCCCAAGACCTCCATAGATACTGCCCAGACTGGCACGCCAGGGAGGTCACTTTGATGTTGCTAATGCAGTGGTTTGACTTCAAAAAGGGAGAGGGAGGAACCCTTATACAGTGGTACCTCTGGTTACATACTTAATTCGTCCCGGAGGTCCATTCTTAACCTGAAACTGTTCTTAACCTGAAGACCACTTTAGCTAATGGGGCCTCTCGCTGCTGCCACGCCGCTGCCATGCAATTTCTGTTCTTATCCTGAAGCAAAGTTCTTAACCCGAGGTACTATTTCTGGGTTAGCGGAGTCTGTAACCAGAAGCGTATGTAACCCGAGGTACCAGTGTACTTTCCCAGCTTAGTTCGCTTCTCATGCAACTGGTTTACCACACAGGCACCACGTAAGGGAATAATAATAATAATAATAATAATTTCTCCTGCCACTCTGGGCGGCTCCCAACAGAATATTAAAAATATGATAAAACATTAAAAACTTCCCTAAACAGGAAACTTTGGCCACAGTGCACCCAAGCACTTCTTGCTTTGCCATGGCACACCTAATCCCCACACATTCTAAAAAGAGGACAGGAGCTGCAGCAGACATTGCTGAGGGAGATACACATTCACAAGTGACAAGGACAAAACTTGGGGTAGGATACTTAAATTTCTCAACTTCGCTAGCTCTGCTAGTTCAGAATTAGTCAAGTTCAAGCAAGACCACAGCCAGGCCAATTGAAGCAAAACAGGGGCTTGGAAGCCTGATCTTTTATTGTTGCAACGAGGTTCCGACTCCCAAGCAAAAAAACAAGGAAGAAGAAACCCAGAACAAAGGACCCATGAGTAAATCTCGTAGGAATGTGTGCAGCTGGTGTTATCTGGTTTCAAAACTTTCAGCACAGCTCGACCTAGTCAGAATACTTGGATGCTTGACTGATAACACGCAAGGTTCTGAGTAGAAGGCAGGCATGAAGGGGCTGAAATAAAAAATAAAAATGAAAGAAGGTTCACACACATCTGTGTTCTGGCCTGCCTGCTCCAAGGTGGATATTGAGGCTTACAACTCATGCAGATAGCCTTTTAGTTGGACCAGAGGAAATTAGAAAGGAAATTAGAAGGGGGGGGCGGGAAAGAGAGAGATTAAAAATTAATATTCTGGAATATTGCACTTTGCGTTTAGTGTAAAAATCTGCCAGAAGCAACTTAATTACAGTATACATGCAAGTTGGGTCACTCAAAGCACCAGGAGGCTTTCCCCAGGAAGTTCCAAGCATATCAGACGCCTTATATAAAGGCTTTTCAAAGTTTCGCTAACAGCAGGCAGAAAAGTACAGAGTAGGTTGAAGGGCGCAGACTCTTGCTGTGAAGACAGCATAAGGGCTGCTTTTTTCAGTTTCGTTTTCTGAAAACTCATGACTTACATGTCCTCCTAACCTCACCCAGACTTTTGTTAGAACTTGAGAAGTGATGAGGCCCAGGCAGCTTTCCCCCAACAACGTATTGATTAAATAAATGAATGAAACAGGGATAGAAAGCAAGGGAATAGGAATGGAAAGCTCTTATAGGAGGCAGAAGTGAATGTGAAATGACCAGGGCAGGGGGAGGGATGAAAGAAAACTAACAGTTTAGGGATGAGGAATAAGGTACAAGTTGAATGCAAAAGGGGATTGGGAGAAGAAATTACAGGAGATGGGTAAAAATAATTTGAGAGAAAGGTGGGGATGGGAAGGGATCACAAAATTCTGCCTAACATGGGGAGGCTGAGTCACAATACCTCCAGAGCAGAAGGAGGAAAACTGAGCTATGGAACTGCTTGCCACAAGGAAGATATTGTGGGAAAGATTTCAGCTATTTCCAAAGATGGATCAGAGAGTGGTTGTGGAGTGGTTTTGTGTTTTTTTGGCATTTAATAAGTCTGGCAACTTGTTTTTCAATTTAGGGCTACAGATTTAAACAAATGAGAGATGTGATTTGGCAAAAGACGTATTTCTTTTTGTTAACTGATACAGATTCTGCCACATTAAAAAGTTTAAAACATTGATAAATAAAATAATATATGTTCTGAAGGCATAAGGTTAGACCATCACAAACACATTCTTTCAGGTCTGCTGATTATATTAAAAAAACCCACTCACCCCCCCTTTTTTTGGTGCCTTAATTTAATTTTGCGTGTTGTCATTTTTCTTTTTTATGGCTAGTGGCCTCAAAAGTTGAATGGGTCTCTCTGGACATCTTAAAGGGCACTGAGGCAGAGTCCTAGCTGAAATTTGACTTTGGGCAAGACGCAACCTATTCTAAAGAAACATTAATAACAATTGCAGTGGTACCTCGGATTAAGAACTTAATTCGTTCTGGAGGTCCGTTCTTAACCTGAAACCGTTCTTAACCTGAGGTACCACTTTAGCTAATGGGGCTTCCTGCTGCCGCCACACGATTTCTGTTCTCATCCTGAGGTAAAGTTCTTAACCCGAGGTACTATTTCTGGGTTAGTGGAGTCTGTAACCTGAAGCGTCTGTAACCTGAAGGGACTATAACCTGAGGTACCACTGTACATAGTTTTGCCACACACACACCCTCTATCTGAAAGCTCCGTCTATTATTACCTTTCGCTCGTCAATAGCCTTCTGTACGGGCAGGATGGTGTGGTCCTGATGCTGAACCTCACACTTTGCACAGATCAGGATGCTGTCCTCTTGGCAGAAAAGTGTCAGAGGCTCCTTGTGCGAAGGGCATGTGCTCTCGGACGTGGCTGACTCTTTCAGGCTTCCCCAGGTGATCTGCCGACTTGCCTCCACCATGTTCTTCAGCGGCCCGTTTTGCTGCAGCTTGGCCTTCAAGAAACCCTTCTTGCACTGAGGGCAGCAGACGTTCTTAAGGGAGCCTTTCCAGTGCTTGGTGATGCAAGCGTTGCAGAAGTTATGCCCGCATCCGATGAGCATCACTGGGTCCATGAAGTCCTTCAGGCAGAGGGAGCAAGCGAGCTCATTGAGAAGGGACTGGACTGGGTTTGCAGAAGCCATGGCTTTGCTTGTAGAGAGAAAGAGAAGAGAAAACTGAAGCTGCCAACAGTTTCCCGCTTCAAAGAGTGAGAAGGAGGAGAAGAGGGGAGTGTCAGTTCTTGTACTGGGGTTCTGTATTGTGATGACTTGCAACCCGCCCACTCCAAAAAAGAGAGAGAGACACCTACCTACCCCCCCCTCTTTTGGTGGGCACAAGTCTGACTCCAGCCATATTTACACAGGGAACTACTTCAGTTTGATTAAGAACTATAATACAGTGATACCTCGGGTTGCATACGCTTCAGGTTACAGACTCTGCTAACCCGGAAATAGTGCTTCAGGTTAAGAACTTTGCTTCAGGATGAGAACAGAAATTGTGCTCTGGCGGTGTGGCAGCAGCAGGAGGCCCCATTAGCTAAGAACAGTTTCAGGTTAAGAACGGACCTCCGGAACGAATTAAGTACTTAACCTGAGGTACCACTGTACATGGTTTAACACATTTTAAAATTCGTTTTTAAGTTTGCCAAACTGCAGGGAAATGCAGAAGCTGTCCAAATCATTAATTATTTGGGAAGATACATTCAAGCAGTTGTTGAAATCCCAATATCAGCTATATGGTTACATAACATGCGTTATCCTCAACCGCACTGTTTACATCGAACATAGGAAAATATCTGGCTCATATGTCTCAGCAAACTTTAAAAAATTCTTATTGCATTTATATCCAGCTTTTCTCCTCCAAGGAGCTCAAAGTGGTGTACATGGTTCTTTCTGACATGAAAATATGAAAGCATGGAATTTAATATGCTCCCATACATTCTTATATTAAATTTGATGTTATTATGCTACATTTTCTTTTTCCTGTATTGTATACAGTGCTCTTTTTCTGGGGGGACGCAGGGGTTCGCATACCCTAAACATTTTTTAATCTAAGTCTGGCCTCATTGAGGGGCAGTATTTCAATATGAGTAGGAAAATGAGAGTACCCCTAAACATTTTTTAGGAGAAAAGCACTGATTGTATATATTTGTATATTGCTTCTTTCTACACATTTCTGTACCTTTTAATGTTTCTTTTATTTTCCTCTTTATCTTTGTATCACTTTATAATTGAAACCTTTTCAATAAAAAGATTAAATATGAAAATATGAAACCCTGCCTAAGAGTTAAAATTTAGGAGATTAATCTTGACACCGTGGACCACCAGAAATGTAGAAACAAATTTCTCTGTGTTAAGATGTTTCCCAACATTTACATACTTTCCTGTTTTCCTATTTAGGCTTCCTCATCTAAAACCCCTTTTCCCTCAGGCATTCCGATGAATCTCAGACAGGCAGATTCACCACAGACAAAAGTATCAAAAGAATCGCTACTCAAGATAGATGGTTTATTTTCCATTTTATTGAAACAAAACTAAGAGGCTCACATAGTCAAACAGAAACAATACCTATGCAAAACATCTCCGCCTCAGAGCAGTGGAAAGGGTTTAGTAAGCAGTCAGGAAGATCTGTCTTCAAGGGGAAAAGGCATAGACAGAATCAGAATGCTAGCATTTCATGAAGATTATACAGGAAGATTATCATTCAGAAGAACCGCCCAAGATCTCCCTGACGGCTCCCACCTTTAGGGTATCAGGAAACTCAAAGTTTATTTCGAATCCTTCTTTTGTAAATGGAGAACAACAAGATGGATGACGTAGAAATCATAGCAAACACTGACATTCCAGAATGGAAGAAATGATTGTGTTAAATTGACAAGAGATTAAATCAATCAGCCAAAAAGCCACTCCACCCACCCTTTTAAAATACCGGGAAATTCAAATGCTTCTAAAAACATTATTTTTGGTCATCCTCTCCCATCTTTGGAAGAACTGTACGGTTCCCGTTGTCTTAGGAAAGCAAATAACATCCTGCAGGATTCATCTCACCCGGGACACAGTCTGTTTGCACTACTGCCTTCTGGCAGGAGATATAGAAACATCAAGTCAAAGACAAATAGACTGAAAAACAGTTTCTATCCAAGAGCTGTGGCCTTTTTGAATGCTGTAACTCGATAGTGTGACCTGGGAGTTTGATGGGTGTTGGTGTGGGTGTGGCTGGAATGTGGTTGTTTGGTTGTTGTTGTTGTTTTGCTTTTGCTGTTTTAAGGGATGGCATCCAATTTCGTTGCACTTTGTGCAATGTTGCACTTGTGTAATGACAATAAAGAATCTATTCTATTCTATTCTATTCTATTTTTGTGATCAGAAGTATATCCAAGTACTGACTAGATGATCGGTCCTGTTTTTGAATTAATCCCAGAAATATTCTTAGCTGTGTTCCTTTGCAAGTAGATGTAAATTAATTGTTTTAAGACATTTACCTGTAATTAAGAGACAGGGGTGAAATGACTGTATTTGTGTGCCTGTAACACCTTTCTTTCCTGTAATATTGGTCCTGGTAGCAGTTAAATAAATATCTCCTTTATTAAAAGGTTTTTGCTGTTAGCCTGGTCTCTGTCCCCATCTCCTCTTTCACCCTCATTAAAACTATGTAAAAACTTGCTGGAACTATGTAAAACTTGCTAAATCCTCAGGAATATCACACCTTGGCCAACCTGAGCCACAGTAACCCCAACCTTACGTGTGATATAATTTTGGACTGTTTGTAGAGGGGATGTCATTCTTCTCCAGCCAAAATGCAAACCCTTAAAAGAGATGTTTCTTTTTGGTTCGGGGGTTTCTCTTGCCTACTTGCCAGCAGGGGAGGGAACTCTCTTGCGACAGAAAAATAAAGATCTGCCTTGCTTTCACTGCCTCCTGCCTCCATCCATTCATCTCTGACCGATCATGGACTTAGGGGACTCAGTCCCCTTGGGGAGTTAGGCAGCAAAAGCCAACCACCCCTATTTTTTCTATCTTCTTCTTCTTCTTCTTTGGCAATCACTCGTAGCTGAGTAAGATTGTCTTCCATAAACACAATCATCAACAAACCTTTTATTGGCATCACAAAGAAACATCCAAAACAAATCAATACAGAATTACCACTTCCCCAGTGGCACAAAACATTTGCTGAAAGAAAGGAGGCAGAGCAGTCTATCGTCACATCTCTGGGTCTCCAGGGAGATCAGACGTCTGCAGTGTATTTCGACGACAAAAAACCAAATAGAGATATTTAGCCACTAACTTGGTGAGCTCCTGATCATTCCCCAGTAATAGAAAATGAATGACCTCCAACTCTGGTTTCCATTTGGGGATGCAGAGTTGATCTAGAAATTGCTGACGGAGATCAGCAAATAGTTTACAATTAAGAACCATATGTGTAACGATTTTAGCAATGAGCAGTTCCACCTTTTCTCTGTCCTCCAACAGCATTTCTCTGTCTTCTCCGTGCAAGGGACATACTACTGTACTTGCTTGAACTTAACTGAAGGCACCTCTTTCAAGTATTTCTGACCATGGGATCTCACCTAAGAAGTTCCTTAAGCTTTTAGAAATATGGTTTAATTACACATATTTGCACCTTTATTCTGCACAGAGAGAGTCCAGATTGTTATAAGAATTTTAAGGTCTTATATATATATAATAAATGTTCATAAATGTACCAAGCAAACACATACAGATATGTAAACCACATATCTGAAACCCACAGACAAGTCCTGAAACCATTTCCTGAAACTGCTGTTTCTTAAGCATCTTTTTACATGTGCAGAGAGCCAGTGTGGTGTAGTGGTTAAGAGCGGTAGTCACGTAATCTGGGAAACCGGGTTCGTGTCTCCACTCCTCCACATGCAGCTGCTGGGTGACCTTGGGCCAGTCACACTTCTTTGAAGTCTCTCAGCCCCACTCACCTCACAGAGTGTTTGTTGTGGGGGAGGAAGGGAAAGGAGAATGTTAGCCGCTTTGAGACTCCTGAAGGGGAGTGAAAGGCGGGATATCAAATCCAAACTCTTCTTCTTCTTCTCTTCTTTTAGGTTAAAGTGAGGAGTGCGTGTGTTTGCAGTCCTGCGCCATACTTGCAGTTTCATAATGAGGGTAGTGTTACCTTGTAATAAGGAGTTGGCTCTCTTCAGCCAGAAATGCCTACAAAATGCATCTGCACTCTGTTGGAACTTAACAGGTAGGTTAGTGTTACTTTGTAGAATCATAGAAGACATCTGAAGGCAGCACTGTTTAGGGAAGTTTTTTATGTTTGATGTTTTATCATGTTTTTAATATTCTGTTGGAAGCCGTCTAGAGTGGCTGGGGAAATCCAGCAAGATGGGCAGGGTATGAATTAATTATTATTATTATTATTATTATTATTATTATTATTTATTTATCTATTGAAATAAAAAAGACTTAAACTGAGCACAAATGTTTGAAAGGATTTTACATAAAGCATCAGTTACTAATGAACAGATTAAGAGGTCAGACTGGATTTATTATGCACTCCTATGACACAGAAGTGGATTCTCAGACCCATCATGACATGTCAAAAGATATCCGCCCTCCATCCCTCCCCAAAAAGAATCCTACAAAAATTGCTCCAAAGCCCCTTTTGCATTGCAATAGTGCAGCAAACCACAAGTAAACAATTGCCTGTTAACCCGTTATTCCATATACAGACTGAAAAGGCAACAGGCATTTTGTGCCATTTTAACAAGCTTTTAAGTTGAATATCCCCATCACACAGAGCTGTCCCCCTTCACAGAAGGCAGGGAACTGCTAGGCTCATCATGTGGGAGGACGGCCGCTGCTCTGTAAGCTATGGAAGTGCGCCTCCTTCAGGATCTGGTTGATGTGGAAGTACAGTGGTGCCTCGCAAGACAAAATTAATTCGTTCCGCAAGTTTTTTCTTCTTGCGAGTTTTTCGTCTTGCGATGCACGGTTTCCCATAGGAATGCATTGAAAATCAATTAATGCGTTCCTATGGAAACCGCCTTCAGACCAGGTCCGGGGACAGTCTGTCCCCGACCTCTTCTGAAGGCTGGGGGGGGGACAAGGGCTTTTCTTCCCACCCCCAGCATTTTAAAAAACCCCGGGACAGCGGAGGACTTCTCCGCTGTCCGGGGCGATGTAAAAGCCCCTGGGAAGGCAGGCAGGGGGGACAAAGACTTCACCCCCCGCCC